ATAGTCTTGTCAGTGTATCTCTTTGAGTGGTCCTGCTAAGAAAACATCTTAAGTTTGGTAACCTTTGATTTAATCTTGTTTCTTCTTAAAGAAACAATAAAACATGTTTATAGAACTCTCAGGATATATTTGTTTACCTCTTAAGTGCTAAAATACTGTACACAGCTCCACCATTTGGCATCTAAAAGTAGGAAGGTACTCAGTGTTTATTTACTTATGAAAATACATCTCATCCCAGTGTCTTCTAATACATACAGTGTGGTTTCTGTGCTCCAAATTAAATTTTTAAGAAATTCAGAAACCTTTAAGTATTCTATTTTTCTTTTTATCTGATCTTTTAAGAGTCGTTATTTGATTAGTAGATTATAACACTCTAGGTTACCTTAAAATCTTATAAATAGTAGTGGTGGGGTATTGTGACTGATAATGTTAGTGTTGCAAAATATTACCTTGTAAAGGAACAATGAAGAGAGTATAGAAGTCAGGTAAAGTACTTAAAATTGAATCTGGAATTTTCATAAACTTGGAATAGTTTAGAAAACAGTCTTTGTTATAGTAATAAAGAATAGCAACAAAATCTTTGACATTTTGGTACTGTTCGTATTTAAGCCTTGATTCTGCCTAGCTAGAATCTGTTACTCATAAAAAGTACTTTATCTTGTTTTTGGTGGTTGTTTTTTTTCTTTTTTTTTTTAACTTTTCTCTATATAGGATTTCTTGTTTGGGTCTACTTGTTACACGTGAATTTCTTTTTAATTATCTTTTTCTTCTAAAGTTTAATGGGTTGATTTAGTTTGAATTAGTAATGGATTTTTGTTTTGTTTTGATACAGGGTCTTACTTTGTAGCACAGACAGGCCTTAAACTTGCTTATGTAGCCCAGAATGGCTCTGAGCTCATGGTGATCCTTCTCCCTTAGCCTCCCAGAGTGCTGGAAGTGCTGAGATTATAAGTGTGTGCCATCGCACCTGGCTGATTGATTTAAATAATGTGAAGAGGTTTGATAGATTATTAACTTGTACCTTGATGTCTGCTTGTTTTCTGATTTATTTATTTTAAAGGAGAGAAGTGTTTGATCCTTAACAAAACTGATGAAAGGCTACTGGGGGTCAACAGCTCTGTCTCTAAATAAAAAAATTAGTAACAAATTCTAGAAGAAGCTTAAGGCCCTTAGAACTAACAGAACATTAAGTCTTACTTTTTCCTTATTTTCAGTAACGTTGGTACACTTTGCCACTGTTAAGAGGTTCCACATTGAGTGGATCATATAGTTGGCTTAGATACTGAGAAATGGGACAGCAGAGGTTTGTCATTGTACTGTAAATTTTCTAACCATTTAAGCTTTAGTAGGTACTCTCTCAAACCTTACTACTCTGCCCAAATGCCAATATTTTACATGCTTATTTGTGTTTAACAGAGTATTATATTGAAGAATATCGAGACTCTTAAGTTTTGAACTTGGGATTTATATGGTCAACAGGGACCTCTTAGCCAGATTGCTTGGATACTTTTTTGACTTTCCTTATTTGACTTCTCTCAGATCTTTGTAATTGTTGCCCATGTGTATTTTTTTAGAAATCCTTTTAGTTGGCTTGCTGACATCTTCTTAATTCTAACTGCTTATTAGACTCCTTCATATCCTCACAGTTTCTTAAATATTGGCATGTCATGGTGCTATCCTTTATATTCTAGTTTCATTTTTTCTTCCTATTGTAATCTTCCTATATGTTTTTGATTACTTATGTGGTTTATATCAGTACTATCTTGTTAATTTTCACAGATTCTTTCTTTCTCTTAGATCTCTCTTATACTTCTGACTTGTATATCCAAAATTTCATTAAGATGATGAAGAATAGAAAGTTTAAAAGTCTAGGAGTAGATGATTGTTCAAAACAAATTTAATACATTTATATAATGGAATATTTTTTGAGTTTTAATATCTATGATACTATAAATGAACATTAATTCTGTTGAAATTAGGAGCTTAATTTATTTTGTAGAAAAATTAGAGCTGAGACTATTGCTTAGTGCAGAGCAAAGGCCTTGTATCCTATCCTTATTAACACACATAAAGTTTTATATTTTGGAACATCCTGAATTTTTGATTAGGGATGTTCAACTTGTAGTGGTAATCTCAATATATTGGAAAAAAGAGTAGTTATTTTGCATTTTTCTCCACTATTTTCATACAGAAAAATACTATCAGGTTGGGGATTTAGCTCAGTGGCTTAAGTACTTCCCTGCTAAGTACAAGATTGTGTGTTTGATCTCCAGTACCAAAAAAAAAAGAAAGAAAGTATTACCACTTACTTAGCTTTCCTTTACAAAAAATGCCTGCTAAGATCATAGTTGTTAAAATTTGTCCATGTACAACATATGTATATTATTTAGTATCTGAGCTTTAGTACTAGAAACCGTGTATTCAGCAAAATTTGAGGTGTTAGGTCACGACCAGAGAGGAATGAAGTGAGGTAGGAACATTAAATATAACAACTGTATATGTTTCATCTTGGAATTTGGGCTTTATTTACTTGATGACTGTTTTTAAATTTTAAAAAATCATGAAATATGATTTTTTAAAAAGGTTCATTATTTCCCTATGTTGTTGTGGGATATCTGACCTCAAATAAACTTATTTATATTGAAGATTTGTAATACAGATTTTGACAATATAAACATTTAATTATTAAGGAGCCTTCTTACTTTGTTCTAATTTTGAAAGCCTAACTAAAACCATTACTCGCTGGGTGATAAAAAGTAAGTTTAGATCTGTAAAAAAGAATTCTAATGAATTAAGTTGTCCATTAATAGAATAGGCTAGAAGGCACAAGTATGAGCATCACTACAGAATCATAATTAAGAATTTATTTGTCCTTCACTCCTGCATCTATGTGATCTGCTAACTTTATAATTAGTATACTTTGATCTTTTTTTTTTTTTTTTTTTTTTTTTTTTGAGATAGGGTTTCGCTATGCAGTTCAGGCTGGCCTTGAGCTCACTTTGTAGCCCAGACTGGTCTCAAACTCGAAAGGATCCTCCCACCTCAGCCTCCCAAGTGCTGGGATGACAGGCGTGAGCCACTATGCCTGGCTACAACAAATGTTTTCGTTGTTAGTCTCTTACTAGTTTGCTTCACTTTTTTGTTGTTTTTTTTTTAACATACCATTGAAGTAAAGTTTAATGTCTCTACTACTGAAGAATATTTCCTAAAGGATTAGATGGTTATGGTATTGATATTTATGCAAGAATATTTTTTGCACTGTTTGTAGTAATGAAAACATCTATCTATAGTAGGATACAAGGTAATTTTTATTTATTTTTATCTTTTTGAGACAGGATCTTGCTGGGCAGTTTCAAGCTGGCTTTGAGTTCACTTTTGTAACTCAGGCTGGTCTCAAACTCCCAATGATCCTTTAGCCTCAGCTTCCCTAGTTCTGGAATTATAGGCAAGCGCCATTATATTTGGCCTTACCATGTAATGTTAATTAAAAGGCAGATTTATATTTAGTGGTAAATAAGATAGATAAGCCAGGAGCAAGGGCACACACTCATAGTTACTTGGGAGACCGAGGCAGAGAGATCACAAGTTTGAGGCCAGCCTGGCAATGTAATGAAACTGGCTCTAAATAAAAAAACAAAAAGGATAAGGAGCATAATAGCTCAGTGGTAGTGCATCACTTGGTTTAACCTGTAGTAACACAAGGTGGGAGCATGAATGATAGATAAAATTGAGTTTATATATTACATGTAATTAACAGTTTGCTTTAAAAACAAGTAGTGACTATTTCTAGAAGACTGTAGGTATTTGCGTGTGAAGGTATATATCTGGAAGCACTTTATAAAGCACTAGTAAAGGCAACTGCCTCAGGGATATTGGGGGATCAATGGTAGAAAGGACATTTTACTGTATATTTACATATTAAGATTTGTTTAATCTGAATGAATTGCCCCTTTTTTTTTTTTCTTTTGGCAGTACTAGAGATTGAACCTAGGGGATTGGCACTTAACTATCCCACCACTTTCTCATTTTTATTTTGAGACAGAATTTTAAGTTGCCCAGCACTCATGATCCTCCCTTGTGCTTTATGCTTCAGTCTCCCAGAGTGTTGGGATTTCAGGCATGCTACTATACTGCGTCTTAACTTTTAATTATTTTATTAAAAGTAAAAGAAATCTCAACCATTTCTTACCATGGTAGAATGGCTCAAAATAATTTATTTAACACATTAAAATAAGTTACCTTACGGGAGGGGAACATTGCCAGTATTCTTTCAGAGAAGAATGAACGAGAAGCATGTAGAGTCTTCTGCTAATTCACTTCTCTACTATTCAAGTTCTAATTCCAAGTGAATGTCTCATTTTATACAGTATAGTAAGGTTAATAGCTTGTCTTACGAAACCCATTTTGAATTTTTAAAATTATTTCTTAGTATTGCACGCCTGTGATCCCAGCACTTGGCAGGCTAAGCAGAAGGGGTACTCTGATTTTCAGGCCAACCTGCAGGGCTACAAAGTGAGTCCAAGGTCAACCTGAACTGCATAATGAAACCCTGTCTCAAAAAAAGACCCCTCCAAAAAAATTATTTCTAAGATTAAAGCCCTTTCAGTTTTACCAAAACATTTCTCCACAAAACTAAATTTTAGTTGTCAGTCTTTGAGTATATACACCAACTAGAAAAAGGTAAATGTAAACACTAGCAAAGTTGATGGTTATCATCACATATGCCATCTCTTGATCTGCAGAATGCCCATGGCTTGTAAGGTAAGCAACAAATTAGAAATTTATAAAAGCAAGAATAATCTGATATTATGAATGTATTATAACAGGAGCTAAGTAATCTAGAGGTTTTGAAGTCCATTTATTTGTGAAATATCAGTATGGTTTGGGATGAAATACTCTTGAAAGTGTCTTCAGGCTTGTAAGGTTTTCAATAAAATATATTTTCTTCAAAATAGAAATGAGATTATTTTTAGAAGTTCTTTAAATTTGTTTTCTTTCAGAAATCGAGCTATAGCAGATTATCTTCGTTCCAATGGCTATGAAGAGGCATATTCAGTTTTTAAAAAGGAAGCTGAATTAGATATGGTATGTTTGACTTTTTATAGTTTTTTGTAATATAATTAAATGAGTGAATTTTACTCAGGTATCAGGTGTTAGCAGCCAAATCAGCTCTTTAAAAGTCTTACTTTTATTACTGTGTTTTATTGATACTGAACTTGACTTTCATAACTTTTAAAATGTTTAGTCTTAAAGATCATTTATCTGGGTTGAACTGTCACAGTGAAGGCATTTTTTAATTGTTCCCATTTTGTCCTCTAGAATGAAGAATTAGATAAGAAGTATGCCGGTCTTTTGGAAAAAAAATGGACATCTGTTATTAGATTACAAAAGAAGGTAAAGTAGGTCTTTTCTTTAAAGTTGTATTCAGTATGTTATATAAAGCTTCTAGAGATATTAAATTATTCTGCATTAAAAATTGATTTTGACAAGGCAAATGAAAATACGTTTCGTATGCTTTATCAAGATTTGGACTCAGATCATTGCTGATACATGCTAACTCATACAACCAGCAATATTGAGTAGATAGAATTTTTCATGGTCTTGACTTGGAGAAATTGATGCTAAAAGAACTCATTTGTGCCCTAAGCCAGTGTAGTGTTGAGAAAGGAGCACTAAAGTATGCTCTTGAATCATTTTCATCTATGAGCTTTCATTTTTGTCTATAAATTTAAGGCAACAAATAATACTACAGATCTGACATGTACATATAGTTAAATGTGGTGGCCCATGCCTGTAAGCCCAGTGATGGGGAAGCTGAAGCAGAATCAGGTTCAGCCTGCACTATATGGCGAGAGACTGTCTCAACAAAATCGCAACAAAAAACTATAGTACTTTCTAGACACAGTTGGAGTAAATAGAGATATTAAGTATATAAGGCTCTTAGAAAAGTTCCTAGCTCATAGATGTTCAATAGATAGGCACTTTTATTGTGAATATTTTATCACTGATATATACACTCTAAACTGATTTGGAAATAATACTCAAAAGTTGCATACTTGAGAGGAAACAAGACAGATTCACTGTTCTTCCTGTAATTTGTAGTAGAAGGCTCTATGGCCAAATATAAATTGAAATTTTTGAGCTGAGCATGGTGACACATGCCTGGAATGCCAGCACTTGGGAGGCTGACACCAGAGGATCATTGCAAGCTCAAGACTAGCCCTTGGTTATAAAGTAAACTCAAGGCTAGTTTGAACTACATAGCAAGACCCCATCTCAAAAAGACCAAAAAATTAATAATAATAAATTGAAATTTTTCTTTGAGTTAAATTTTAAGCTGAGCATGGTGGTGTGTGCTTATAATCCTAGTACTTAGGAGGCTGAGGCAGGAGGATCACTGGGAGTTTGAGGCTAGCCTGGATACAAAGTGAGTTCAGGTCTGGTCTGAACTGCATAGTGAAACTGCCTCAAAAAGACAAAATAAAACACAGTATTTAAGACAACTTTAATGCGTTTTTACCACTTTTTAGTTTTGTCGTGCTATTTAGATTTTGGTGGTATATTAAGACTATTTAAAGTTATCAAATGCTTTGCAAATTGCAGAATTTTTTTCAGGTTTCTTACATATATAGAAGGAAAACAAAAGCAGTTTTTTCTCTTTCCCCTTTTCCCTCCTCGCCCCTCCCCTTTCAATTCTGACATCAAATTCAGGATCTCATGCATGGTAGGCAAATGTTGTACCATTAAGCTATATTCTCAACCAAAGGCACTTCTAAAAAAAATATCAGAATCTATCTATGCCTAACTGCCTCTTCCTTCTCAAGGTTATGGAATTAGAATCAAAGCTAAATGAAGCAAAAGAAGAATTTACGTCAGGTGGCCCACTTGGTCAAAAACGAGACCCAAAAGAATGGATTCCCCGTCCACCGGAAAAATATGCACTGAGTGGTCACAGGAGTCCAGTCACTCGAGTCATTTTCCATCCTGTGTTCAGTGTTATGGTCTCTGCTTCAGAGGATGCTACAATTAAGGTAAGGATTTGTTAAAAGTAGACTAGAGCTCATTTACTGGGGGCAAAGAAAAACCTGAAAATGACTTACACAGAAAACTAGGAGAGACTCTTTTGAAACTGTGCAAATAGTTTGATTCTGAACTTCAAAGATAGTATAAGTTTCACTGTGGCTCCTGAGGGATATGCTGCCAGTAAGCTCACTAATGAATTTGAAAACATGAAAGTTGAAATAAATTTAGTGTTGGGAAGTGGATTACTTTGTGTTGGAATAAATTTTATTCTTAGAGAATAAAAAATGTGTTCCAGGCCTGGGACGTACGTAGCTCAGTGGCATAAGCACCTGCCTGGCAGGCGCAAGGTCCTCAGTTTGATTCCTTAAGTAGGTTTGAACTTTAAAAATTCTTGAAGTTAAAAAAAAAATTCTTAAAGTAAAAGACATAGCCATCAATTCCCATGAATATACATATTCCCCTTTGCTTACAACATATCCCATTTTTCTTGCTACTATCTGAAATAGTTTTGGAAGTCTTCTTTTCCTGAGGGTCTTTATGAGGCACATATGAAAAATACAGCAAATGGTGCTGCCAAGTGCCATCCAAAAAGAGGTAGGCTAGTAAAAACACTATTCAGTGTGTCTTCATCCACCTTATTCCTGAGATTGGGCATTGTGGGCCTTCTGGCGCATTTTCAAAGTCATAATGATCATGAAAAGGAAACATTTTGAGTGGATTCAGGCCATCCAGGCAGTCATAACAATACAACTAAAGACACTTGCCACAGTATTGCTCAGCATTTGCACCCTGCAAATGGATCAGTGTGGTCTGGGACCTGGCTTTATCCTGAATTCAGGATTAAAATGACCCTGATAAACAGTTCCTCTCATTCTTCATCTTCACCCACACTGAAAGCCCTACAACAGAGAACAGCAGGGCCCTCAAACTGTGATAAGTGAAGTGTGGTTTCCAGGCTACCTATCTCCCTGAAGCTCTTACATGGTTTCTTTAGTTTCTAAATCAATGACTTCCATCTTGTGAATATGGGGTAGGCTGAGTAATTGTAAGGGAGTCTTAAATTCATGTGTATATCATAGATAAAGAATTGTGCATCTGATACAGTCATATAATACTTTTTTTTTTTTTTTTTTTTTGGTCTTTTTGAGACAGGTTTTGCTATGCAGTTTAGGCTGGCCTTGACTTACTTTGTAACCCAGGTTGGTCTTGAAATTGCAGCAGTCATCCTGCCTCAGACTCCCAAGAGCTGACATTACAGGCATCTGCCACCACACCTGACTAATATATTACTTTTTTATCATGATTTTGAGGATCAAATGCAAACCCTGTGTGTTAAGCAAACGTTCTGCTACTGAGCTATAACCCTGTCTTCATACTATTTATTTCAAACATAGGTAGACATGTATTTAAACTGACTTCCTAATAGTCCTTTTTTATTTTTATTTTTTTGGTCTTTTTGAGACAGAGCCTTGCTGTGCAGTTTAGGCTGTCTTTGAGCTCAGTTTGTAGTCCAGGCTGGTCTTGAATTTGCAGTGATTCTCTTGCCTCAGCTTCCCAAGTGCTGGCATTACCAGTGTGAGCCACCATGCCTCTTCCCTAATAACAGTCTGTATACCAACTGTTAATTATGATGTATAAAGTGAAGGAGTAGAAATTTTTCACTAGGTAGAAAACTCAGACATATGTGTAGATTTTGCAGCATTGGTATAAAAACACAAACAGAGTTGTTAATATATTGTCTTAAAGTATCTATTGAATCTGCTTCAAAGTACGTTATGGACTGGAGATACGCACCTGGCTGGCAAACACCAGGCCCTGAGTTCAATTCCAGTACCAAAACATGAATAAAGTACATCATAGAATAGAAGTTTGAAACCTTTGTTTAAAATGAAACCACATGGGCTGGTAATATAGCTTAGCAGCACGGCACCTACCTGGCAAATGCAAGGTCAGGAGTTTAATTTCTGGTGCAATCAGTCAATCAGTGTAAATAAGTAAATCAAACAAACCACAAGGACTGGGGATGAAGCTCAGTGGTAGGGTGTTCACTGCGCATGTGTGAGGCCCTGAGTTCAATCTCCAGCACTCCCTTCCCACTGATACCACAACTAGTTAAAATTCTCCCTTTTATTTATAGTTGTTTTACTAATGAAATTCAGTTAAAGGCCAGGCATTGTGGCGCACACCTATAACCGTAGCTCCAGGATGCTGAGGCAGAAGTATGACTTGAGTTTGAGACCAGCTTGTACTACATAGCAAGAGACTGTCTCCAAAAAAAATCAGTTAAAAATGTAGTTCTGTTATCTTTTGACTGACATTTGTTTTAGAAATGTCTTTTGTGTCATCATTTTTAATGACTTTAAAATGGTGATTTTATTTATACTCTATATAGAAGCTTTGTGGAATAGTGAAGGGTACTGGTTCTGACTTTGTTTCCCAACTGCACCACAATAGTGAATTGTGATTATGGCCAAGTTAATTTTTTATGCTTCACTTTCCATCTATAAAATGAGAATAATAGATAGCTACCTCATCTGCTTTTGGGAGGATTAAATGAAACTGCTTTCAGATGTTGCTGGCCAGATGCTAAAAGAACACTCAAGACCAGCACTATGAACAAATTGTCCTCCTTTGACTTCTTCTAGTCAGCTGTTAGAGCGTTCTGTTTTGTTTTGTTTTTATTTTTTTGGTACCAGGAATTGAATGCACAACCTCAAACTTGCCAGGTAGGCACTCATGCCACTGAGCTTAATCCTTGGCCACAGTGTTCTGTTTTATACATAAACTTTTTCATTCATAATTTGATTCCTTGGGTATTTGGTATGATGAAAAACTTTCTGCTCCACTTTTATTACTCTTCAGTTGTATAAAGCTGAGGTTAAAGGATGATAGAATGACTTTTCAGAAAATGCAGTTTTATAAAATCAAGAGTTTTGTGGTTCTCTGACTACATTGGGCAAAGTGCTTGATATACTTAGTTTTCTCGTTTTGCGGGGAAATGGATTAGAAATATTTTGGGATGAATGTAGTTTAGTAGTAGAGTTTTGGCTTAGCATGCAAAATGGCCATGGCCTTGGGAAAAGAAGAAAGAGAAAACCAGCCGTATCATAAGATTCTGTAGCATGAAGTGATGTATACATATTGTATATAACAGTATGATACCTAGCAGAGGGTTGCAAGTGGCTCAGTAATTTGTAGCTAATGTTGTTATTTCTTGAATTCATGTGGTAAATGTAATAGGTTTATTCCTGTTCAGTTCCCATAACATCATCACTTGAGCTGAGGAAAAATTTTAAAGAATTTATCTTTAGATCAGGCTTGTTTTTCTCCTAGAAAGGTGTGGAATATGTGTTGGGCTGTTGGGGATCAAATCCAAAACCCTGCTGCATTCTACTTATACATTCTACTACTGAGCCATCCTTTCTAGTGTCTTGAAAGTTTTGTTTTTTTCTAGTACAATGAGTTGAACCCTTTGTCTCATACCAAGCTATGTCTCCTTTATATTTTCTTCAGTTTTGAGACTGACCAAGCATTGCTAAATTACCCAGCCTGGCTCTAATTTACAGTCCTCTTGCCTCAGTGCACTCCCCCCATCCCTAGTTGAGAATGTGGTGTGTGCCATCATGCCCAGTCCTGAGAATATTTTTTTTAATGCATCTTCTTTAGTCTTTTTTTTTAAAAACAGCTAGGAATTGAACGCCAGGTCTCACATGTGCTACCAAGTGTTCTACTACAGAGCTATATTCCTAGCCTGTGAAAGTATTTTAGAATCATTTACATTTGAATCATTCAAATTTTTGAAATGTTAGTTCTATTTATCGCTTAGGTTTTATTTGTTTGTTTTTGTTTTTTGGGGTTCTTTTAGTACTCGAAATCAAACTATAAGGCCTCACACTTGCCAGGCAGGCGCTGTACCACCAAGCTATAGGCATGGGCCACAGTGATTTTATTACGGAGTAAAACCTGATGTTTTGTTAGTCATATAATGAATAATGATTATATTGGGGATGATTGCCATATCACCTCAGATATACATTATTTCTTTGTTATGGGAACATTTAAAATCATTTCTACTGCCTATTTGAAATAGTTAATTGTTGTCAGCTACGTATGATTGTCCTATTTTAAAGAACATTAGAAAATTGTCCTGTTTTAAAGAACATTAGAAGTTATTCCTCATAGACAGGCATGGTGATGCACATATGAAACAGAAAGATTGCAAGGACAGTTTAGCAATTTGTTGACACCCTGTCTAAAAATAAAGACCAAGGGGTCCTAGTGCAACGCCTTTAATCTTAGAACTCTGGAGGTTGAAGCAGGAGGATTGCTGCCAGCCTGGGCTACATAACGAAACACTGTTGTCGTTGTCGCCCCCCCCCCAAAAAAAAAAAAAAATAAAAGAGAAAGAAAAGGAAAGGGTCATAGCTATCATTCAGGGCAGAGGCTGTGTTTAATGCCAAACAGTAGGCCCGGTCTGGAGGTGCAGGCCTGTAAACCCAGCACGTGTGAGACTGAGGCAGGAGGATCACTGCAAACTCAAGACCAGAATGAGCTGCAAAATAAGTACAAGGCCAGCCTGAACTACACGGTGAATCCCCATCTCAAAAAAAAGTACAAAATTAATAAGACAAAAAACAAGCAGTAGCACCCCTAAAAACAAAAAGCCCCCTAACCACACGTATGTACCTCCATTGACACAGCCTTCCAGCCCAGTACTACTATTTTGTGGGGAGGACAGGGTTTCAGCTATATAGTCCAGGCTGGCCTTAAACTTGCTTATGTAGCCGAGGCTGCCCTTCAGCTCCCAGTGATTCTCCTGCCTCGGCCTCCAGAGTGCTGGGATTACAGGTGTGCACCCCATACCTGGCTCAGAATCAATTCTTAATTAAAGGCCAACCTGGACAACTTCAAGGTCCTTTCCCAAAATAAAAAAGTCTGAGGGTATAGTAAAGTGATTTATGCAGGAGGTTCAGGGGTCAATCCACAGTATTATAAGATAGAAGAAGCAGATGCTGGGGTTGGGGGGATCCAACAAGAAGCCAACCAGCCAGCCTTTCTGGTAAGCCATGCAAGCTGTGCGGCTTCCATTAAGAGAAAAGTCAGTGCCTCCCATGAGCATACTGGTACGCGGGCCTGAGAATCAACACCACCCCCAGCCCTCCGTAAGTAACCCGCTGGTTCAGAGGACAGGCTGAGTTAATAGCAACTAAGATACATAAAGCAACTAAATGCTTAAAAATAAAAAATTAAACTGCAGAAATGTGTTCATTAAGCACAGATGGAGGATTGGTGGCTTTTATATGTGCTTGATTTATGATGGAATTATGTCATATAATAAATCATCATAAATTGAAAATGTTGTAGGGCAAAAATGCATCAAAGCTGGGCTGCAAGTTAAAGGCCACCCTTGGCTACATGGTGATTCAGGATTTGCCTGACCTGTGTAGTGAAATCCTGTCTCCATAAAAAGCATTTAAGGGGCTGGGGATTTAGCTCAGCAGCATAAGCGCCTGCCTTGCAAGCAGGCAGTTGTGAGTTCGATCCCTGGTACTGATAAAAAGGAAAAAGACCAAAAAAAAAAGGCATTTAAAAAAATAAGCCTAGATTAACTGTGATCTCATTTTTTTATTGTACATGTTTATAGCATATCTTTGCACTGTTTGCCTAATGTATCTTAAACATTCTCAGAATATTTACATTAGCTTACAATTTGTGTAGAACCATGTTACACAAAGCCTATGTAAAGGCCTGGGGATTTAGCTCAGAGGCATAAGCGTTTGCCTGGCAAGCACGAAGTCATGAGTTCGATCCCCAGTCCCCCTCACCCAAGAAAAACCTATGTAAAATTTTGAATAGCTCATATCATTTATTGAATATTGTACTAAACATGAAAAACACAATGATAGATTGGGTATACTTTTTCTGTACTATTATAAATTTGCAAAATCATAAGTCAGGGACTATCTGCAGAAAGTGACAAAAATACAGTGAATGTTTAAATTTTTTTAAAAAAGCTGTTAAGCTAAATGTGGTGGCACACACTTTTAACACCAGCACTTGTGAGACTAAGGCAGGATGATCTAGGCGAGTTCAAAGGCAACCTGGGTGACATAGTGATTTTAACACCAGCCTGAATTACATAATGAGACCTTGTGTCAAAGAAACCTCAAAAAAGCCAGGCATGATGGCATATGTCTGTACTTCTAGCACTGGGGAGACTGAGGCAGGATAATTTTTGTGAGTTGTAGCCAGCCTGCTCTACACAGAGAGTTCAGGACTAGCCCGAACTACATAGCAAAACCCTGTCTCAAAAAAACAAAAAACTGTTGGGCATGGTGGTACACACATTATCCTAGCGCTCAGGAGGCTGAAGCAGGAGGATTGTAGCAAGTTCGAGACCAGCCTGGGCTACAAAGTGAGCTCAAGACCAGCCTGAGCTGCATAGTGAGACCTTGTTTCAAAAAGACAAAAGACACACACACACACACACACACACACACACACACACACACGTCTCTCGCTCTGCAGTTCAGGCTGGCCTTGAACTTACTATGTAACCCAGGCTGATCAGCAATCCTCCTACCTCAGCCTCTCAGGTGTTTACAGTAAGATATTTTGAGAGACAGACTGCATTTACCTAACACTTATTATAGCATATTTTTGACTTAAAATTTTTGTTAGTAGATATTACTACGTTCATCGTGGGATACCGAGTCCACATGTGTAATACATCTTAGTTCCTTTTACTTCCTCTTTCCCTTCTCCCCTCCCATCTAACTTACTATTATTGGTAATATCTTACTGTGCCTAATTTATAAATTAGAGTTTATTGTAGCTATGTATGTATAGGAAATACATACATAGGGTTTGTTATGTGTAATTTTAGACATCCACTAGGAATCTTGGAGTGTATCCCCCCGTGAGTAAAGGGAGACTACTCTATAATTGCCACTGTGCTTTAAATTAATTTTTTTTAAAAAAGTGGAAAAGTGTTGCCTGCTGGTAGCAGGATTATGTGGAATTTTATTGCTTTAATATCATTGCAAAATTTTTATCATTTACTTTAATAATCAGACAAAAGGTAAATTACCAAAGAAAAATTCTCATGACTCATTTGAAACTTAGAAACTTAACAGTAATGTTGGACATTCAGGTTGTTTGTACATTTTCAGAGTGCATTGTGTACATTTCCCTCAGTTGACTAAGCTACACACAAGCACAATCAGTTGCTGGATTTTTTTTCATCTTTTCGAGACAGCGTTTCATTATGCAGTTCAAGCTGGCCTTGAGCTTACTTTGTAGCCCAGGCTGGATATGAACTCACAGCAATCCTCTTGCCTCAGCCTCCTGAGTGCCAGGATAACAGGTGTGTACCACCATACCTAGGCAGTTTTTCAATTTTATAAAATATTGATTGATTGCTTGCCACTGGGAATGAAACTCAGGATCTCATACTTGCCAGGCAGGCACTGTGCCTCTAAGCTATGTCCCAGGCACCAATTGTTTGATTTTAGAATGTGGATTGATACTGGTTAAAGTTTGAACTCAGACTAGCATTTGGCCACCAGAATTTAATATGTTCTTGAGCAAGATCCATTTCTAATATTCTTGATAACTATTTTTATTCTAATCTTTTAAAAGCTAGTCATGGTGGCACATGCCTGTAATGCCAGCACTTTGGGAGGCTAAAGCTTGAGAGTCGAGATTTGAGCCTAGCCTCTACAATGACCTATGGAGACCTAGACTCACAATAAAAAATGAAACAAGGAATTGGGAAAGTACCTCAGTTTTAGGGGCTGGGGATTTAGCTCAGCGGCATAAGCGCCTGCCTTGCAAGTAGGCAGCCGTGAGTTCGATCCCCGGTACCGATAAAAAAGAAAAAGACAAAAAAAAGAAAGTACCTCAGTTTTAAAGCCCTGGGTTCAATTCTCAGTACCATGAAAAAGAAAACACAAAAAGATAAAAGAAAAACTCTTTTAAAGATGTGAACTATGATTTAATTTTTACAAGGCATATTGATGTGCTTCATTATTAATCTGCTGTTGCAAACAGTTTACATCTTAAAAAAATCTTTCCATGTCCTTATGTTTGAATTCTGCTAGTCTAGTACTCTGTTTTCCCTAATACTCTCCATATAAATACCTGTTATAACCCCTTAAAACTTTTTTTTGCCCTTGAAATTTTTTTGTCTGTTGCTATCAGAGTAAGAAGAGACTATAACTTATGCGTTTATGCATCTTTATCACTGGCATAGTTAATCATGTTTTAAATACTTCAAAAATGTAAAACTAAGAGTCTTGTTTTAATAATTGCAGAATTTTTTGTATACTTGCAGATGTGATATTTCTAAGATTATTCACTGGTACTTGTTCCAGTTAGACAATAAAGAACATAGCTGGCCTCCTGAGTGCAGATGTGGATGAGAAATTGATGAATTGGTGTTAACCAGGTTTCTTTTCATTTGACAGGTGTGGGATTATGAGACTGGAGATTTTGAACGAACTCTTAAGGGGCATACAGACTCTGTACAAGACATTTCCTTTGACCACAGTGGCAAGCTTCTGGCTTCCTGTTCTGCAGATATGACCATTAAACTATGGGATTTTCAGGGCTTTGAGTGCATCAGAACCATGCATGGTAAGGAATAGGGAATAATAATTCAAGTAGTGGGGCTGGGGATTTAGCTCAGTGGCATAAGTGCCTGCCTTGCAAGCAGGCAGCCGTGAGTTCGATAAGAAGAAAAAAGACCAAAAAAAAAAAAAAAATTTCAAGTAGTTTGTAGCATGGCACTGGAGAAAATAATAGCATTCAACTCTTTGTCTGGAGGAACATGTAATATACACAGTCATTGGTTGAGAGTTGTTTGAAATTCTATTATCTTGTTACTGGTTTATAAAAAACATTTGTTTTCACAAGTATTTTTTTAATGAAAAAAAGAAAAAAACTACGAGGACAGCAAGACTCTAAATAAAAGAGAAAATTAAGTTACTTTTATGTAAGGTTACCCCCGACCCCTTGAGTTTTTCAGTCAGAAAATTACAGTCCAGAGAAAGCAGCTGTACTGCAAATTCAAAGACTCCTTTGCTCACTTTTAAATGTTCTTCATACAGTATACTATCATCGTTAGTTTTTTTTTTTTCCTGGTTCTGTTGTGGACTATTTCCTGAGTCAGTGTTGTTTTCTGGAAGTAACATGAGTTTCAGAATTAGGTATCTGGGTTCAAGTTCTTGTTTGCTTATACTGTGGGAAATTTTAGCTACTTTTCATCTGGAAATAGAGGTAATAATATTTAAGTCAAAGTTGTCTTTATAAAGTGAGGTCATGGAAGAGATACTCACTAAGGCTTTTTGTTGTTCATTTGAACATTGTGATACGAATCTTCAGATTTTGTGTAAGAAACACAATATTAGTAATAAAATTTTGAAAAATAGATTATCTGGGGGGCTGGGGATTTAGCTCAGCGGCATAAGCGCTTGCCTTGCAAGCAGGCAGTTGTGAGTTCGATCCCCGGTACCGTTAAAAAGGAAAAAGACACACACACACACACAAAAAATAGATTATCTGGTGGCTTTAGCACATGAGTAAACTTGTGATTGCATGGAAGGTGCAGTTTGAAGGGTGTTTCTGTCATACCATTTAAATGCATTAGAGAAGCTCGTTCACTTAAAGAAATTCTGGCAAATCCTTTCATAAAATCTGTTACTTGTATTTAAGTTGCCTATCACTCATTGCTCTCACAAAGAGTTCTTTCTAACCAGTGTAAATTCATTGAAATAATGTATTTATGAGAACTCTAGGAGATATTCCAAAAATACAGCTAATTAGGAATGTGAATAATGTATATGAAATAATGTTCTTTGTGAATATCTGTAGCAACAGGAAGATGATTCTCAATCACTTTGGGAGCAGTATGGTGGGCTGAAATAAAAATAAATAATTCATAATTTTCATAAAATCCATAACTCAAATTTTCATAATTTAAAAATTTAATAATTCATTAAAATCATAATTCATAAATAAAAATTCATAATTTTTCATTTTGAGACAGTGTTTTGATAAGTTACTCAGGGTAGTCTTTAAGCATCCTCCTCTCTCAGCCTGCTAGGGTGCTGGGGTTACAGACATGCACTAGGGACCTCAAACACTACTTGTTTTTTTTTTAGGCAGAGTTTTGCTATGCAGTTCAGCCTTGAACTGGCCTTGAACTCACAGCATAGCCCAGGAGGTTCTCAAATTCATGACGGTCCTTCTGACTCAACCTTCCAAGTGCTGGGCTCATGGGTTTGTGCCACCACACTTGGTTTTTTGTTTGTTTGTTTTGTTTTTGGTTGGTTTGTGTTTTGAGACAGACTCTTACTGTATAGTTTAAGTTTGTGCCAATCCTTCTGCCTCAGCCTACTAAATGCTGGGATTACAGGCATAGGTCAACCAGCTCCATGATTTCTGCATTTTAAAACAATTATAATACAAGTCAAAATTTAAGTTAGTAATTCTTTGCCTTTTTTATGTAAATCTAGATATTTTCCCAAATTTATATAAAGCTCAATGGTATATAAAATTTTCTGTGGGCTGGGTGGGGTAGTGCATGCTGGTAAGCATTTGGGGAGGCTGAGGCCAGCCTGGACTTGCTAGGAGTTCATAAATACCCTGCATAGCAAAGCCCTATCTCAAAAATAAAAAATCAGATGTGCTGCAATATTTGAAATTCTAAGATAAACTGAATTGACATTGCTTCTGGTGATATTTTGATTAATACATTTCCTGTGTTATGTTTAGGCCATGACCACAATGTCTCCTCGGTAGCCATCATGCCCAATGGAGATCATATAGTATCTGCCTCAAGGGATAAAACTATAAAAATGTGGGAAGTACAAACTGGGTAAGTAGGCTTAGTTGAAAAGGTGTTATCTAAGGCATTACTAAGAAAACAATATTGTGTTTCAGGTATTGGGTAATTTGGGGTTTAATCCAGAATGATCACCATGAGAGTTGTATGTACTTTTGAGGGCTAGAAATATAGCCGTTGCTTAGCATACATGAGGCCCTAGGTTCAATTCATACTCTAAAGCAAACAACTAAGCTTGATCTTTTCTTTTTTCCTTTCTTTTTTTTTTTTTTTTTCCTTTGTTCTGTGTTTTGTTTTGTTTTGACACAGGGTCTCGCTATGTAGTTCAAGATAGCCTGGACTCCTTATGTAACCCAGGCTAGCCTCATCCTCCTCCTCAGCCTCCTGACTGCTGAGATTACAGGAATGTGCCACCAGGCCTGGCTTTTTTTTTGTTTGTTTGTTTGTTTGTTTGTTTTTTCCAATTTTGAGACAGAGTCTTACTATGTAGTTCTGGCTGGCCTTGAACTCACTGTGTGGCTCGGGCTAGCCTCAAACTCGCCCACAATCTTCCTGCCTTAACCTCCTGAGTGCAGGGATTATAGGCATGTGCTATGACACCAGGTCCTTAGATTTGATCTTTAAATGTTACCAAAAAAGAAACATATATATATAACTCTTTGAGAACCATTTCTATATAATGGCTTATTTTCTCTGTGGACTTCTTTTAGGTGATCTCTCTGTGACTTTACATTGAAATGTAAATAATTGGGGCTGGTATGCCCCTGTTATATTGAATTTCATCTTTAAAAAATTTTTTTTTTATTTTAAAGAGAGTAAAATTAAACAGAACAAAACAGATCATAAAAAACAATTTAAGAAACACAGATTTCAAAGCAAGACCACCGGAGATCTTCAGTGTCTATCATATTGTCTCTTGTTTTCTTCCAAATAGTTGTCCACATATTCACATACAGTGAATACATACTGAACAGTATAGTACTAACGTGATCAGAACAGGATGACGGAGGCATTTTAGGTCTTCAAGACCATACAATAGGGAAGTCAACAATGGCTGCCATAACGTCTTTCACTCTCTTTGAAGTATCTGTCCATATCTTTACGTATGTTGAAATTAAACAAAAGAAAATAGACTAATAGCACTCTGAACAGATAATAATAGTATTGCTAGATTTTATTTATAATGCTATAGAATTAGCACTGGGTATCTTAGTGTCTCTTCTTCAGAGCATCTGTTCATTATGTCATGCATTATATAATCTCTTGTAAACTGTTTAGAAGTTCTACACATGTGTGAATCTCTACATGTATACCTATCCTTTCTGTATTATAGGGAAAAGCAGATCAAAACAAGACAACAAAACAAATTCATAGAAAAACATGAAATGCAAAAGACATATAAAACCACAATACTAGGTGATCTACAGTAGTTACTATGATGTCTCTTGTTATTTGCAATAGAATTGTCTGTATCATCATGTATAATATAACAACATAGCACTACATAGCAATATTAATAAAAACGCAACATTGGAGACATTGTAGGACTTCAAAAGCAGTTAATAATCAAATTGGAATGGGTATCCTATTGCATCTTGTCATCTTCAGAGTAGTTGCCTCTACTCTTAGAATTGATACTATCAAGCATACTAAATTTGCATAAAATCAGTCAAGACAAAACCAGCTTCGAATAAAATGTGTAAGTAATACACGGCTTCAGTTTAAGTTAATAGGAAATTAAGGATAGTTACTGTACTATATCCTGCTATTTTGGGATAGCTGTCTGTGTCCTCAAATCTAGTTACAAGTAGACAGACTGGAACAGAATAAAATCAAACTAAACAGAGCGATAAGACTAATGTGGCTTTTAAATCCTGATACACTATTAACAATGTCCTCTGCATTCTCTTTTTAGACAATTCCTCCCCTTTCCCTTTCTCAGGGTGCTTTATACAGTTTGGGTCCCACTAACTCCTTTAGTTTTTAGATTAGGGGGCAACCTGTTATCTCCCTAAGTGGTGCTGAATATTTTTACCCTTGAGATTGATCTTGAGCTGTATTCCTTTACCTACTAAAGCCTCAAGGTTTTCCTTCCTTAGAGCTGAGTAGTTCTCCACTGCACAAAGGTGTCATGACTTTCCAACCTGTCTGCAGCAGGTGGATGAGCTATCCCTATTTCTTTCTGGTTCCCTGTCCCACAGAGCATCGTTTTCTCATCTTTGACTTTCGGTTCATTAACCGTCTTTCAGGTTGATTATATTTCCTATTCAGAGTATCTTGATGGACCCTATCTACTGGTCTATTCTGCCAGAGTTTCTTTTTGCTAGTGTATCAAGGCCATCTATATTTAAGATTATAGCCAACCTTCTCTGCCTCATCTCTGCTATGCTATTTTTCTGCTGTTGATTGTCTACTTACTTTTCTCCTTCCTTCCACTGTCTGCCTGTACATTGAGGCCTCTCTGTCACTGTTGCTGGAGTCGTAGTATTTTTGTCTCTCTCTCTTGGTTCTAGTATTTTTTGTAGGGTTGGATTGGTGGTCACAAGCTTGCCCAGTTTTTCTTTGTCATGAAACCACCTTGTTTCTCCATTAATTTTGAGAGACAGTTTTTCAGGGTACATCAATCTGGGTTGGAGGTTATTTTCTTTCAGGGTTTGGAATACTTCGCTTCAAGCTCTTCTTGATTTGATAGTTTGCGTCAAGAAATCTGTCGTGATTTTGATGGGTTTTCCTTTATAGGTGATCTAGTTTCTTTTCTCTGACAGCTTTTAATATTCTGTTCTTATGAAGATAAATTTCTGGGATCTTGATTATTATATGTCTTTTCCTATGCTTGGGAAGTTTTCCTTAATTATTTCTGTGAATAGCTTTGTAATTCATTGTAATTCCTGCTTCTTCACTTGTGTTTTTTATTCTTAAGTTATAGATCCTCTTGTCATCTTCTAGCCTTCGTATTGTTACTTCCTGGTTTCTTGTTATTTTTAAGGGATCTTTCCTTTACGATCACATATTGTAAATCTATCTTCAAGTTTTGAAAGTCTAACTTTAATTTCTGTCAAGGAATTTTACCAGCTTTCAGTGGTTTTTAATTTCCTGATAATCTCTTTGGATCTGTTTCATGTATTTTAGATTTTGTTTATAGTCTTCATCAAAGGTTTCTCTCCTTTTTCTGTGTTCCTCCATTCTTTCATCTCTGTCTTCTTGAGAGGTGTTTTAGCATTTCTTTTATTATTCTTTTTATATCCTGCCTCACTGGAATTAGAATTTCATTGTTAAGTTCATCTATGAGATCATGAAAGTATTTCTTTATTTCCACTGATGCTGTGGCTGATATTGCATGATTGCTGCCCTCGATCTCTTCTGTACCTACCTCTCCTGGACTTATTTTCCCTGGGTCAGCGGCTGGAGGCTTTTTCTTGTTTCTTTCTTTTGTTATGTTTCTGGTTTCTTTCAGACAGGTATATGGTGGGGGTCTTTCCATATTGCCTACAGTTTTTCTGAAGTGTGCTAGCTAGGGGATTGCTGCCCTCTCCAGTTGATCTGAGGTGCATACAAGGACGATGTGGGCTGGTCCTTCTCCTCTGAATCAGTCAACCAGCAAGTGTCTTCAGCCTGTGCCATGTTGACGTCACAGTTTTGGGACAGTTTCGTCCCTGGCTATTGGGTCCTGACCAGGGACAGGATTCAGCCCAAGCAGATCCCACCAGTCCTCTTTAGGCCAGGGATAGTTAACTGATGCCACTGTGGTTCTGGGTTCAGGCCCGTCCTGCCCAACTCCAATATGTTGTCCAGCCAGTCACTCCCACTGCAGAACCCAATTCCTAGCACTCACCATGGGTTAATGCAGCTCTCCCCATTGGTTCTGCTCCCCATTGTGGCACATCCTCCTATCAAGGACCCTGGGCTTATCAACTCCTGATTTTGGCGTACCACAACTTCAGCACAACCATGAATCCTCCAACTCCAAGGCGTGCCCAGCACAGCCTGGGATTGGCTCCAGTGAGAACATCTGTTTCCAGCCTTTTGTCCACGTTTTTCCTTCCTTCCTTTCTTTCTTTTTGTTTTTCTTTTTCCTCAGTTTCTTCCTGGTCATGAGAATCCCTCTCCTTTCGTCTGGTCTTCTCCATGGTGTTAAATTCTAACATCTGAGGTGTTTTTCTCAGAGAGGCTCTCTGCCCTGCTACCTATCAAACTACTGTCTTCAGACCAATCCCAAATTTCATTATGTTTATACTTACACTTGATTGTTAGAATAAAACTTTACTGACCAGTTTAGCTCAGAGAACATATAGTACCTTCTTCCCAGCATGCCTAGAAAGATTTTGTTAGATTTATTATATGTGTTTAATTTTGAAATTTTCATTCCTCTATATATTTTACTTTGTAATTTTGTTGATTTAGGCAGCTCCTTAATAATATTCTTGATGATAGTCATGTAAGTGTAAATTGTTTATTTTGCCAGCTACTGCGTGAAGACATTCACAGGACACAGAGAATGGGTACGTATGGTGCGGCCCAATCAGGATGGCACTCTGATAGCCAGCTGTTCTAATGACCAAACTGTTCGCGTATGGGTCGTAGCAACAAAGGAATGTAAGGCTGAGCTTCGAGAACATGAGCATGTGGTAGAATGCATTTCCTGGGCTCCAGAAAGCTCGTATTCTTCCATCTCTGAAGCAACAGGATCTGAGGTATGGTGTGCTTTGTCATTTCCTGATTTTGTTGCTAATACTTTAAAATCCTAGGTAACTTTTCTGACTCTCAGTTTTAAGACTGTTAATATATTTAAGAATATGCATCCTAGAATTCTGAATCTTGAAACTGTTACTCTTTGATGTAATTGTATATATTATTTTTTAACCAATGATAATTACTGCTATCAGCTGACTTAATTTAATGGGTTTAGGGATGGGAATTCTGCTGAACAAAAAACCAACATTTAAATTGCCATATTTATAAGAATAAAGCAATGCAAAGTAAGCCAGTAGAACATAAAGTTATCTTTTAGGATAACCTTAAATGAGTATAATTATTTTATTTTTGAATTTATAATGAAATACATTTCAGTATTTATGTTTTAACTGAAGGCTTTAATTTGGAAGCTTATAATACTCTTTTTTTTTTTTTTTTTTTTTGTCTTTTTTGAGATGGGGTCTCGCTATGCATTTCCAGCTGGACTTGAGCTCACTTTGTAGCCCAGGCTAGTCTTGAACTCCCAATGATCCTCCCCTGTCAGCTTCCCGAGTGCTGGGATTACAGGTGTGAGCCACCACACCCAGCTCAGCTTATAATACTCTTGATTTTAAAAGTACTAGTTGAGAGCCAGACATGGTGGTACATGCTCATAATCCCAGCACTCAGGAGGTTGAGGCTAGAGGATGCTGTGAGTTTAAGGCCAGCCTGAACTGCTTAGCAAGGTCCTGCCTCAAAAAGACCAAAAAAAAAGTATTAACTGAGTCTGGAGTTGTCATGTTTCCTTGATTATTCATTTGTATTCTTCATCATTTCATTCTTTATGTTTAAGAACTTTATTTGAATATTGTATTCTACTTTTCATCATTTCAGTCTTTATGTTTAAGAACTTTATTTGAATATTGTAGTCTACTTTGGCTGGCCCATTACATTTTAGGATTCTTTATACTGCCCCCTGGTGGTTGTTATTTGCCATGTCATAAAATTTTATCCTGGTTGAACTTTGTATGAAAACTCAGTTTTAGATAGTTTTTAAATCCTTTTTGATTACAGAATTGGGGCTTGGGATCAAACATAAAGCTTTGTATGTACAGGCAAGCACTCTAACATTGAGCTGCACCCGCAATCCTGATTACAAAGTTTTAAACAATAAATCTGTGATGTATTAGTGTTATCTGGGACCTTCATATGTAGCCTAAAAGTCATGGTAGTCTAAAATAGCCTATACAGTGTCAAAAGGCTTGTGTATTTCAATAGTTAAAAGTGGTATATTTTAAAAAATTGGAAATGAATCCTAATAGAGGTCATTTAAAATTCTTAACCAACTTCTTACATGGAAAAATTATTTGTTTCCTTTAGACAAAAAAAAGCGGCAAGCCTGGGCCGTTCTTGCTGTCTGGATCTAGAGACAAAACTATTAAGATGTGGGACGTCAGTACTGGCATGTGCCTTATGACTCTTGTAAGTTTAGATCTCATTGGTTTTTTGTTTGTTCATTTTATGCATCTTCACGATTTCTGTACCTTTATGGATTTGATGCTTTTTGATATCTTATTAAATAAACTGTTCTGGGCTCTTATAAAAATGCTTTTCTTTAAACTTTAGTCTTTACTATAATGATATAAAAGTTAGTTGTATAGAGCGTCATTTTATATAAAGAATCAAGAGAGCCATTGGTAGGGAGATCAGAGCCCACTGTATCTTTAAAAAAAACTGTGTTTAATTGGAAAGAGCCAGGCATGGTGGCACATACCTGTAATCCCAGCACTCTGGGAGGCTGAGGCAGAAGGATCACTGTGAATTCAAGGCCAGCCTGAACTGCATAGTGAGACCCTATCTTAAGGTGAGTGCAAAAAATTGGTATCTCTCTGGAGGAAAAGCTTTCGTTTGGACTTACTTAGGTTTGAAGATATTTATTGTCTGTTTCACTGTATTTATATGAGTTTTTGTTACCTCTTTTGTTCATGTGATCTAATGTATTTGGTTTATTTTATCAGGATAAAATTATTTATTCTAACTTTATGGTTTAGAAATAGTTATTTCGGGGCTGGGGATTTACCTCAGTGGCATAAGCGCCTGCCTTGCAAGCAGGCAGTTGTGAGTTCGATCCCTGGTACCGATAAAAATGAAAAAGACAAAAAAAAAAAATACTTATTTCAATTTAGGAACATTGTGTTTCCATATGAGATTATCCAAATGTTAATAAGGAATTCTAAGTATTTTGGCTTATATAAGGGAATTCCAAAAGAATCTATAGATATATCACTATTATAATAGCAATTTTTATAATTTGGTGACAGGTTTGTTTAGAGGTTCTTTGGGTGCTAATCATACATGGAAGTGACTAAGTATAACAGACATATAGCAGCATTGTCAAGAATCTGTTAGAAGCGTTATTAAGCATTGACTCTTGGCAAGTTGTAGTGGCACATGTCCATAGTTCTAGCATTCTCAGAGACTGAGGCAGGAAGATTGCAAGTTTGAACCCAGTCTGGGCAAATTAGCTGTTTAGTGAGATTCTCTCAAAATGTGTTTTTTGTTTTTTGTTTTTGTTTTTTTGTTTTTAAAGGTTGGGGGTAGAGAGGAGACTATTTGATTCAGTAGGAAGACTCTGGGTTCAATCTCCAGTACCACAAAAAAAAATTTTTTTTTAAAAAGAATTGATCCCTAGTTTTCTGAGCTGAGTTCTGTTATACAATGCTGCTGTTAAAAAACTAGGTCTATATTTAAAATTAGATAGTACACTCTACCATCAGTAAATATGAAGGTCATCATGAATTGCCCCAGATTATTTCTAGCTGCTGTTTTTCAGTTAAAGGGGAAAGTGTTCTTTTCCTGCATTATTTTGAGGTGGCCAAAGAAATATGGTGTGATTGGGGCTGGGGATTTAGCTCAGCGGCATAAGCACCTGCCTTGCAAGCAGGCGGTCGTGAGTTCGATCCCCGGTACCGATAAAAACAAGACAGAAAAAAAAAAAAAAAAGAAAGAAATATGGTGTGATTTGGGGAACAGGGCTGTGGTACTGTGTGTATCTGAGCTACATCCCTAGCCCTGTCTATTTTTTGAGACATGGTTTTGCTAAAGTTGCCCAGGCTGGTTGCCAACTTGCAGTCTTCCTGCCTCAGCTTCCTAGAGTGGTATGACTACACGTACATAGCACTACACCCAGCTGTGATTTGTTTTCTTATAGAGGCTGCTACTAGCGGGTGACTTTTATAGGTCGCTGTAAAAGATCAAAGAGTTCTGTTTTGTTTTTAATTAATTGAATTTATTGGTACATTTTAGGTATACATAATGATCACATTTCTTACTTGTTTTGTGTTTTGAGACAGGATCTCACTATGTAGTTCAGGCTATAAACAAGCACAGGGGCAAAGTAAACCAAGACAAAAGACTTTCCTCCTAGATCTTGTTTTTTAGTTTTTGGTACCAGGGATGAAATCACGACCACGTGCTTGCAAGCAGGCGCTTATACTGCTTCGCTAAATCCCCAGCCCCTAGACCTTGTTTTTAAAGCAGGGCATGGTAGCACATGCTTGTAATCCCAGCACTTGGAAGGCCACAGCAGGGAATCACTGTGAGCTCAAGGCCAGCTGGGACTATATAATAAATTCAGATGTAGACTGAAGTAAATAAATAGCAAGAACTTACCCCCCCCCCAAAAAAAAACCCATAAATAAATATTAGTTCTGTTATATTACTTTTACAAAAGTATTGTATTCAGCCAGGTGGTACATTCCTGTCTTAGCACTCAGGGTCTGAGACAGAAGTATTGCCAAGAATTCAAGGACCAGCCTGAACTACATAGCAAAGTTCAGTCTCAGAGAAACAAACAAACAAACAAACAAAAAAAGGCCTCCCCTAAAGTAATCATTTCTATTACAAGAAAATTGAAAAATGTACAGAAAAGCTGAAAAATAAAAGTCATCCTCAGATAATGCTGCCTTATGTTTTTTTATTGTTAAAGCTGTACTGCAGACCAAAGGGCCCCCCCCCCATCTATTTTATTTCAAAGAGGAAAAAAAAGAAAAAAATTCAAAGCACATTGATCGGGGGGCAACAGTGATACAGTGGTACACATACATTGCACATTGTCATTCCCAAATCATTCACCCACAGCACCAGACATCTGCATTCAGTTACCCTATCAGTAGCAGCACAAATCTTTCTCTTCAGTGAACTCAGAGAAATTAGTAGTATGACTAAACTTTTTATATACATATATATACCTATACATAAATTTCTTTCAACTTCTCATACTAGTGATGCAATATGTTTATGCAGGTATCTTATTCTACTTAGGAGTATTGTCTTAAAATTGTATCCATCTACCTATAAAAGTCTCCCGTTTATCCTTCTTTATGGCTATAGTACTCAGTGCACTGTATAAAAATTCACCTTTTAAATCTATTCTTCAGTTGATGGGCATTTAGGTTATTTCCAAGGCATAGCTATTATAAGTTGCACTGCTATAAACATGGGTGTACATATGTCACTGTGATATAATGTTTTTAATTCTTCTGGGAGGATATCCAGAAGAGGAATAGTTGGGTCAAATGGGACCCCTAGTCCTAGTTTTTTGAGGAATCCCCACAGTAGTTGTACCAATCTACACTCCCACCAGCTAAAGGTGAAAAAGGATTCCTTTTTCCTCAGAGCCCCTTCAGCATTTATTATTGCTTGATTTTTTGGTAATAGCCATTCTTTTTGGGGTGAGGTGGTATTTCAGTGTTGTTTTAATTTGCATCTCTTGGATGACCAGTGATGTTGAACAGTTTTTCACATGTTTATTTGTTGTTTATATTTCTTCCTCTGAGAAGTGTGTGTTCATCTCCGATGCCCATTTTTGGATTGGGTCTTTAAATCTGGGAGGACTGATTTTTTTTTTTTTTTTAAGTTCTTTATATGTTCTTGATAGTAATCCTTTGAGGAACAGTTGGCAAACATTTTCTCCCATGTTGTAGGTTGTCTCTCCACTCTCTTGGTGCAAAAACTTCTCGATAGGATGAGATTCCCTTTGTTGATTCTTTGTGATAGTTCCTGTGCAAACGGGGTTTTGTTCATAAAGTCTTTGCCTACACCATTGTCTTTAAGAGTTTTACCTACTCTATGTTCCAACAGATTTAATGTTTTTTGTTTTAGTATTAAGACCTTTGATCCATTCTGATTTTAGTTTAGTACATAGTGAAAGATAGGAGACCAGTTTTAATCTTTGGCATGTGTAGAGCCAGTTTTTCCAGCACCATTTATTAAAGAAGCTGTCTTTCTTCCAGTGAATGTGTTTGGCACCTTTGTCAAAGATAAGGTGCAATCATGCTGCCTTACTTTTCAAGTATAATTTTTTTTCTCACTTTCTCTTCTCCTTCCTTCCCTCCCTCCCTTACCTTCAGTTTTTGTTTTGTTTTTTTGAGGCAGGATCTCGCTTTGTAGTGCAGGCTGGCCTTGAACTTGCTTATATAGCCCAGGCTGACATGAAACTCAACTGTGATCTTTCTTGCATCAGCCTCCCGAGTGCTGGGATTATAGGTGTGCACCACCATGCCCAGCTCAAGTAGACTTGAGCTTACCTGTATAACTTTATGAATGACATTCTATATTTGCATTGTTTAATAAGCTAGGTACTAGCTACATGCAGAGATTAAGCTCTTGAAATGAGACTAGTGTCAAGAACTGAATTGTGTTAACTTTAGTAGTTTATATTTAAACAGACACACATAGCTGACTACCCTTTTGAGTTACACTGTTCTAAACATTTTATCTTTTTGTGAAAATTAACACATACATTTCCTATGACATAGACATTTCATATGTATTAGAAAGAATATGATGTTTGCTCCACATGTCACCAGCTACTTATACATATGCTTGTTAAATAATTTGGGCCTGTCCCTTTTTCTTTTTTTGAGACAAGATCTCTCTATGCAGTTCAGGCTGGTCTTGAGCTCACTTTGTGACCCAGGCTGCTTTTTCAGCAATCCTCCTGTCTCAGCCTCCCAAGCGTGCCACCACACCTGGCTTTGTTCTCATTTCTGAGTAAATTGCAAGAAATGGAACTGCTGGGACTAAGGATTGAACCCTGTACTAGGCAAGCACTTTTCTACTGAACTACATCCTAGCCCTTCTAAAAAAAAGCTTTTTGGTGTTTTGTTTGTTTGTTTTTGGTGCCAGAAATTGAACTCAGGACCTTTCACTTGCCAGGCAGACACTGTGCTGCTGAGCTATATCTCTGGCCCCAAAAAATTTTTCAGTGTTTTAAGATGTTACCTTGCTTAGTTATTTAGGATAGCCTTGAGTTTATGATCCGCCTGCCATAGCATTTTGAGTGCCTAGATTGTGCTATGGCATCTGTATATGCTTCTTTTTTAAATGGTGAATGTTTACATTTTGAAATTTATTATAATAAAAGACACATTGCCATTTTTCCCTCACAGTATTCCCCATTCATCCATCTGTCCATTCCCAGAATGTCTTACCGAGGACCTACTACAAGACCATGCCCCGAAGTTGCCTCCGGCTCTTTCCCTTCCTCTTCCCCACTTATCTCCCTATCTCTCTCCCCTTACCCTACAGATACTGCTTGCACACAGCAGGTGCAGCAGGCACAGCCCTTAGGACAGGGTCATCTTAGCTCACAGCCCAGCGTGCTTATTGTGTCATTCCTATTGGCACCTATATGTGTTTACATGCATGTTTTATGTTAAGAGCAGTGTCTTCCAGGTGTGGTGGCCCATGCCTATAATCTCAACAGCTGGGAGGCTGGGGCAGGATCACCCTGAGTTTGAGAGCAGTCTTGGTTACCATAGTGAGTTCAAGGCTAGCCTGAACTTTTTAGTGAGATCCTGGTTACCATAGTGAGTTCAAGGCTAGCCTGAACTTTTTAGTGAGACCCTGTCTCAAAACAACAAAAAAATTCAAAAATAAATGAGTAAAGAGCAGAGCTTAGCTGCCTGCAATGGCTCATGTCTATAATTCCAGCTACTTTTGAAACTGAAGTAGGAGAATTTCAAATTGAAGACCTGGCTGGCCTTGATCTCCTGGTGGTTCTTCTGCTTCAGCCTCCTAAATGCTGGAATTACAGGCACGCATCGCCATGCCTGGGTCATTTTTCTTTAATGGCAGAATCTCAATTTGTATTCCAGGCTCGACTCAAACTTGCATTCCTCCTGCCTCAGCCTCCTAAGTGCTTGGATTATGAGTGTGCAACCATGCATTTCTCTCCCCTCCCGCCTCCCCCTCACTTTCCCCTGTCTTCCTCCCCTTCCACCCCTCTACTCCACTTCCTCATGTTGAGATTACAGGCCACTGTATCCACTTGGGCTACATTTTTAATTCATGTGTTCCCCTTGTTTTGATTCAGTGGTGGCACATTCCTGAAATTATAAAGCCTTTTTTAAATGTAAAAATTCATTCCTTTTTTAAAAAACAAAATCAGTACTAGGGATTGAACCTAGAGCCTTTGACCTACATTTCCAATCTTTTTTTATTTTTTTAGGTCACTAAATTGCCCTGGCTGGGCTCAGACTTGCTTCCTTCAGCCTCCCAGAGTACTGGGATTATGGGCATGTACACCACACAGGACTTGTTCAGTATTTTCACTTGGAAGATTTTTGTTGACTTGCTCTTTTGGAGATAACATTTTTGTGATGAGAATACTTAACAGGAGATCTCTACTTTTTTTGTTTTGCTTTTTGGTTCTAGCAGTCAAGCTCATCTCTTTGCATTGTAGAGAATACTGGTGTCTATAGTCCTCATGTAGTAACATTGTTTCATAAATATTAAACAGTTTATGAATTTACTAAGTCACATACTTTCTTTATCTTTAAGGTGGGTCATGATAACTGGGTACGTGGAGTTCTGTTCCATTCTGGGGGGAAGTTTATTTTGAGTTGTGCTGATGACAAGACTCTACGTGTATGGGATTACAAGAACAAGCGATGCATGAAGACTCTTAATGCGCATGAACACTTTGTTACCTCCTTGGGTATGTATGCCATTATGAGGTTTCTGAACTGTTACATTTGGAGTGTGAAATGTAACTGAGGTGTGGGTACCCTTGCAAAGTTTTCTGGGTAAGAGATGACCATGGGAACAGAAATGATAAGGGAATAGTAGAGATGGCAGGTTAAAAACTTAGTGAATTCCTGCCAATTGCTGTAAATTCCTCTTTCCATCATTAACCATATAATAAAAGAATTCTACTTTCTCCATCATACAACACTGGTTTTGGACAATAGAACTGTGAAAAGGATGCTTACCTTTCTAAATGGCAAGTTTTTCTCCCCTGCTAGTTTGTAAATTTCTCAAAAGAAATCTTAAACTTTTCCTTTGGCAAGTATCCTACCATATATTAGGAATTCAAGGACTTGTACTGAAATTAGTAAATCTAGACTTGAATCTGGAATTTAAGATAGTGACTATAGTAAGGAGTGATGGACCAGATAATGTTGAGATGAAGCCTAAGTAATGGCTGTCTTCATGCCTCAGGACTATTTCAAGGGTTAAAGGGGAACATAAATAGTAGTATTGAGACTGGAACAGTTAGTATTCAGTAAATAAATACACTGAGACTGTCTTTAATGATTCAGGCTCCCATTCACTAGGTGTTTTTATTGAGGTATTGACATAGGGCTTCATCATTACCAGCTTCCCCAGCTTAGTGGTAAGCTTTGTACTTTCTTGGGGGTATGGATGTGTGTGTGTACAGAAAAACACTGATAATCTTAACACTTGGATTTGCTCATTGTAGCTTAGTTATAATTACACCTGGCTTAATCTGCATTGAGAATGAACCTTTTCTTTCTCTTACAGATTTCCACAAGACAGCCCCTTACGTGGTTACTGGCAGTGTAGATCAAACAGTGAAGGTGTGGGAGTGCCGTTGAGTGAGTCTCATTCGGCCCCTACTTCTTTTTCCTCTGGATGCACTCTGATGATACCATGATTACCCCATTGAGCTCTGTTTAAATAAATATTGTCCTTTCATGTAAATTATTCTGGATGTAGATTGAGCTTATTAAATGTTACACACAAAGTATTCATGCATGGTGAATCCAAATTGTATACTGTAAATTTACATACGTTGTCTAGAAGTACCATAGGGTTTAAAAACCTGGGCTGGCATTGGTCACACCAGGCCTACAAGGGCAGAAGTTGAATAAATTGAACTAGGGCACTAAACTGAATAGCTGACGGTGTCACTTTATGTTGGATCATTAATTCCTGTTTTTCTTTCTGCTATCTGTTGGTGCCTGACTTGATGGCCTCATTCCTGGGAAAGTGGTTGGTTATTAGGGCTTTTTCTGAAATGTGTATCTATGTAACATCACTTAAGTGTGCTTAATAAATCTTTAAGGATGTTAGACAATAAGGCTACAATTCAGAATTTTCTGAACCATCTATGTTATGGGGACTACACCTTGGAATTTTGTCATGACCCATTTGCCAAATCAATAGGACATGTTTGTTTTGGCAGCCTGTCAAGCAAAGGCTAGTGGTATATTTATGTAAGAAAATGATTGTAAATCTCAGCAGCTAATAGCAAATCATTTCTTTCATTTGGGTCTTAATGCTTTGTAAACAGGTTGAAAACACTGTCCTACTCTAAGCTTCTGTTTTCCACACTAGACATACTTCTAGTTGTATTCTCCATACTATTAGACTGTATAGTGATGTGACTTCCACGTAGAATTTAATCTTCCCAATTGAGTGTCATGGTACAAATCACTATTTTTAATGTTTTTTAGGGATGTGCAATGTGCATTACATAATGACAGAAATACTGAAAAGTTTGTTTGCCCACTTTAAAGGAGTGCAAGAAATAGAGAAGTTTTGTTTTTCAACATCAATCTGATAAAAATTTGAACTGTTTCATATACAAGTTTTAAAAATGACAGGGTTTAATGGAGCGTGCATAAAAATGTACTGTTTTCACCTTTTGTTTATATGTAAATGTTTATAAGTATATGGGCCTATCTATAAATGGATAACTGTATATGGCACACATACAACCTCCATATCTGTGGGTGTTAGGTTTTGAAGAAGTGCTAAAACGTACAAGTAGAATAAATGTTGCTGTGGAACACCACAACCATGCTTTAGAACAAACCCTTTTTGATCCTAATGCTTCTGAAAACTATGTCTGACTGTGGGGATTTTTCCCAGCTAAAGGAAAACCACTTCCTTTGTCCCCCTACCCTTCCAGTGTGACCATTTAGCATTTTACACATCCCTGATATATTGTATATTTTGATCCAAAGTTACTAAAAGTAGGTTTAAGAGAATTTTTATCCATGCCTTTTGGAACTCTATTCAGTTGTTGGGTGTTAATAATAAAGAATCCCATTGCTTAACTAATGAATAAATTTTTTGTTTGTTTTTAAAAGAAAATCATTTAAAAAGTTAAAACAATGAAGTAACGATGACAATTTAACAATTTTTTTCTGAATTACATTTTACTCATTTATGTGTAATACATGATTTTTTAAAATGTCCTGTTTAGTGTGTAATGGAAATTTGGTTTCTGAAAAAGACAAAGGGTGCGAGTTAATGTCCTGTAGATAGACACACAGAGAATAGGCCATATATTAACTAGAAGCTGCTTAATGTCTAGCTGGTATCTTTTTATTTCTTTGCTTGTTTTTAAAATTCCTGAGAGATGTCTCTTGAAAGAATTGTTTTGAGAACTAACGGCTATTTTTGAGGACTAAAATTACATCTTAAGCTAATTTCTTAAATATAGTAGGTTAATTTTCAGGACAGTATTGCCTCACAGCCCTGCTTATATCGAGAAGTCTTTTACCCCCTAGCTGTTCTGACTGGGTTTTTCTACAGAAGTTACGGAAAACATCTTTGTTGTTGTTTGCTGCTATTTCCTTTCCTATTTTAAGAAATACAAACACACAGAAATGGTGCATCTTAACATTTGTTTGTACATGTATAAATGTCTTATTTTAATTCATTTTTAGCATGTAGCAACATGAAGTGTTTAAGGGTAAGCCACAACATCTAGAAATCACTCAGATATAAACAATTAAGGAAAAATGGTACTGGTGTAGAGGAAACCAAGGTGCTGTTCGCTGGGTTTGTTCCCCTGCAGCACACAGTGATAGTCCTCAAAGGAGGAGAAACAGTTACTCTATAAACAAAGTTACCTTTACTTGAGAGGTTGCCACGCCTGCTGCTGCTTAGTTACCAGACATCCTCCACTTAAGCAGCGGAACATTGAATCTCAGGGATGGTCCACAACTGGATCCAAATGTGATGAGCCCTGTTTGAATAATGAAGGGGGGTGGGGGAGAGCAGTCCATCTATAATCTGGAATCAGATTTGCAGAGATTTCTTGCACTGTTGTTTGACACTGCCCTGTTGATGCCCTTGCTTACTCTGTGTAGTTTTCTGTCTGCTGTCTAACCCTGTGCCTTGCCTGGAATAAGGACAATGATGAGGCTACTAGTTTCGATTATAAGTAGAGGTCTTACATTAATTGGTTTAAAGGTTCACTGCTGCTTTTTCTAATTGGCCACTTAATAAGAAATAAAAAGGTGATAGAATTGCATCCTCAGATGATTATTGACTTTTTGTGTGAAAACAGACATTCCAGTGCCACCCTAATACTACATACCCAAAAAATCCTAGCTGCACTCTGGAGAGTGCCAGCCTCGGAAACTGGCATAGACATCACTTGGAGAATAGTTGCTTTTGACATGGCATCTTGCACTTTAGGAGACTTCAGACTGTCCCATTTTGTCTGTGTGGTGTGACCAATGGTGTGCCCAGAGCACTACCCAAAATCACTAGTGTTAGCAAGTTGTCCCGGGCTGTGGAGCGTGCACTGTAGTCCTTTGGAAGCTTTGGCTCTAGATTCATCAAGCCCAGTCTCCTGTCAGCGCCCTGCTCTCCTGTTTGCCTCTTTTTGTTTCTGTGTGAACTTCCAGGTAATATCACTCATCAAATAGTTCTTTTTCTTTAATTTAAGGAAACCTATTTAAAAATAAAGGATATTTTGTAGACAGTGGTGGCTTGATGATCCTTAAGCCACTGAAGTTAAAATTGAAGGAAAAGGCACTTGAAATGGTTACTCTTTCTGTCCAGCTGTATATAAGTCCAATGTGTTAATTAATCTAGGTGATGCAAAGAATCTCCTGATAAAGAAGCGACATGTACAAAATTGGTGGGAAAAGGTTTTGGTTTTTTTTTCCCCCCAGTGGGGTGGGGTGGGGCAAGCTAGATTTACAGGTCACAGCTGACCTGTACTGGCCTTTTGATCTTTCCAGTATATCATGTAAGTAGCTGCTTTCTTGTCCTGCCTATCCTTCAGGCATCCCTAGAGCTCACTCTGAAGATGTTAGAAATAAAATCTTCGAGTTAGAAGTTGATCCTGACACTGACATGAAGGCAAGCATTGATTTCACATGAATGTTGCAGAGATGGTAATTGGAGAGGACAGTTCCCCCAGACTGTAAGAGTTATCTGAAGATATTGACACAATTTTAAAAATCAGTAAAGGAATGTATATAATATTGCTCTTGTGTTTTACAGTAAGATTTGTTGCTCTCAGACTGTGTAAAACAAAATTTATTCATGTTTTCTGCATATTAAAAAATCCTATTGTACCAATTGGTAAACTATTAAATGCCTATAAAACTAGATGTGATTTTTTTTCGTCTTCTTGTGTAAATTAAGTCAGTAGGAAATGGGACTGTGTTCAACAGCTGCCACAGGGCAAGACAAGTTGGTGGCATGGAAGGATCTTTAGATCAGCCAGCAGCACCTTGGCAGTCTTCTGCCCTCCCACTGTTTGGAGGACACAGCCCTGCAGGCTGCCCTGGGGGTTTGCACTGAGTTATAGTCCTACGTTCTTCACCTGCACATTTTGATGGTGACCGTTGCTGTGACTGGACAGCTGAAACCAACGATGGCCTGGTGGGCTTGACCCCCCTCTGCAAAGAGACCTTGCCCATAGAGCCCTACCTTCTGTTACGGAAGGATTTCATCTGGCCCCCTTGTCCAGAGGGTTGTGAAGATCTAAGGATTGTTTTCAAGTTTGGTTGAGCTGAACCAAGGTAATACCCCAGGCTGCAGCTGTCCTTCAGTGTCTCCAGGGTGCCCATAAAATTTCTAGCCTTTTAAAATCATTGGTGGCTCTTTTTTAGAATCCAGCTGTTTTCATGCCTCCCTGTGAGAGTAGCTTATGGTAAAAGAAGCTGGGCTTTTGAGCAACAAAGCAACTTGCCTGAAATTAGCCTGAATTTTGTAGCTTTTTTTCCCCCCTGTTGGGCTGCTTTTCTCCCCCTCCCCCAGGGTAAGAGGGAATGTTAGGCCTGACCACTTAGGATAGAGTTGTATCTTCAGTTTCACCATCCTGAAATGTTGTGAAGGATTCAAATCTCAGTAGTGCTTCACATGCAGTCCTTCTGGGATTCATGGCCATGCCTGTCCATATTGGGGTGAGGGACAGAAAAATGGAACTAAGTGCTGCCTTGTGGGTGTTAAGGCTCCATCCCTGCTAAGTCTGGTGGAAACTGATGTGTGCAGACAGTTCACAATCTGGCATAACTACAGTCCTCTGGGACCAACTGTACCACCACCTCTAGCATCAGATCACCTGGGATTTTGTCAAGAGCACAAATTTTAGGACCTCACCTCATAGGACAGAATCCTGCAATCTCTTAATGTCTTATAAATATGAGGGCTTGTTAGCAAACCCCTGATCTATGATTTAACTTTTCACTAAAGAAATTAGAGCAGAAGTTGCCCACAGCTGGGATTTGAACTCGGGTCTCTTTCAGACTCACCACTCCTTTTGAATACTTGGAAGGCCAGTCCCACTCCCTTGGCCCTCCCAGTGAACTTGAAGGTGGAAGACCTAGAGACATTTTGAGTCCCTGTTTGGTACCAACATTTAGGGTAGGTAGTGCATTTCATGGACAGGAAAAGCTTTACAGGAGGCAGGGCCAACATGCCAGGCATATTGTGCCTTTATGTAAAGGTGAGATGGGACTTGAAATGTTTTTCTTTTACCCAGTTCTACTTGTGTAATTAGTAAGATGTGAGGACACTGTAACACCTTTTAAAAAATTCTTGGACCAGCCTGGCATGGTAGTACACACCTGTAATCCCAATACTCGGGGAGGCTGAGGCAGGAAGATCATTGCAAGTCTGAGACTAGCTTGGGCTACAGTGAGCTCAAGGTCAGCCTGAACTGCATAGCGAGATCCTAACCCAAAAGACCAACAAAACTTGGACCATTTTGATAATACAGGGAAAATGTCCTACCACTTCTAATCCTCTGAATCACCAACCCGCACCATTCCTCTCTCACTTTGGGAAGCTGGGAATGGACAAGTTAAAAAATGTTGCCCAAACTTGCTTATTTGGGAGAAATGTGAATTGATTTGTATGAAGTGACCATCTGCAGGGCATCTATGTGTGATCCCTGTTTTAAATCATTGGATAATCCCCCATCACTTTCACTTTACACTTCCTGGTATTTCACTTTACACTGATTTGATTTGGTAGTTTATAGCTCTCAGAAAGGAAATCCTGAGACCCCAGTAGGACACTTGATCCTCAGCCACAGCCTCCATGGAGTCCTCACCATTAAGTTTCACTGGGTGTGGTGGCACACCTGTAAGCCCAAAACTCAGGAGGTTTGAGGTCAGCCTGGGCTATGCAGTCGTTTCAAGGCCAGCCTAAACTACCAAAGGAGACTTTCAGAAACGCTACACACACACAGGTAAGAATGTAATAGGCAAGTTGGCTCCTCCCCTCTGTGGTGCTGGGATCTAACCCAAGCTGGGCAAGTGCATCACTGTGTGCACTCCCACCCTGAAATACTGTTTGAATTACTAAAGTGGCACATATGTAAGAGAAATCAAAACGGGAGAAAACTGAAAATAATTTAAAAGGCAAAGCTGGAGATGCTGCTGACACAAGCTAGTTGTCCCTAAGGTTAGATGCCCATCCAAATAGCCAGAAACTAGCAGATGCCAGGTCTCATGCTAAAGTTTCTGGATAGCACTATTTGCCTTTTATTAAAAAGATGAAATCTTACTTAAGAGAAGGATAAAGGGCTGACTTTCTACCTGTAGTCTCAATTTCTTTATAAAACTGCTTCTTGTTAGCTGGTTGTCACAAGTCTGCCAGCACTAATACACATAAAGGAAGCAGGAAAAACTGGCCTCTCAGGTGATCCATAGGCACAATGGTAATTAAACCCCAGGCATTCTTAGCTTTACATGGCATCCCATGCCCAGAAGTGCTCCGGAACATGGGACATGTTCACTGGATGTGGGCAAAGGAAAACAAGTTTAAAGCACAACCTTGAAACTGTCAAGAGAACTTGGGGACACGAAGGAGGCTTAAGATTAAAGTACTGTTATCCTTAGTTGTCACTTAAAACCAAGGTCAGAGACACCTTTCCCCATGCTGCTCTAGGAAACTAGGGTATTTCTCCCCAGTGTATGTGAGGCGCACAGGACTCTCCAAGCATTCCAAAGCATGGGAAGAGGGAGCAGCTCAGTGGTGGCAATCGAAGTCCATCCCCAGTACCACCCAAAGTGGTCAGCGCCCGGGAGAGGATGGCTGCACATGAGGCTGACTTCCCTATCCTTAGGCTCTGTCCACAAGCTCCGTCCCATGTCACAAGTGTGCTGTGCATGCCCAGCTCGCTGGGCTCCTATTGCCCACAGTGCACTGGCCCTCCACCGCTGGCTCTAAATCCTCAAGGCTGCTGCATTCTCCTAGTACCTTGCCTTCTGAGGAGTGCTGCCCCACCTTCCTGCTGCAAGCACAGGGACCAAGGCTAGGTGTTCTGAATGGCAGCAGCTCAGGTCCTGGCCCCTCTGCAGGCCCATGGCCTACACAGCCTTACTCCAGCCTGTTTTTCTTGTCACCTATGAAGACAAACCCAAGTGTAAATCCCAGCTAAGTGCCAGTGTTTTGGCCCCTCCACTCCCAATTCAATGACATACATATGACCTTGAATTTGACCTAACTTACAGTCATCTTGGGGTAATGTTCTGACAGCAGCCCTCACAATGAGTTACAGAACACACAGGTAAGGCTGGAGCAGCAGGTTTCAAAAACTCACTTTATTCCAATGTGAAATGAAGACGTGACGGTTTAAAAACAAGAAAAAGTTCTTGATTGGCTGTAGGGATGCCTCGTGCTAGCTCGCGCCCACTCCCCTTGAAACAAGGTGCCTTGACAGACCCGATCCAGAAGCAGCTCTCCGGAAAACCCCAGGCAGAGGCTCCCCCGGCTCACAGGGCAGCGGACCTCCTGCCCTCCCAGGCAGGGCTCCCTCCCGGCAGGAGGCACAGAGAAGCAACACAGGCAGGAGGGGAGGGGAGCAGCTGGGGCTGGTGGGGGCCCCACCATCCCTGGGCCTACTCTTCAGAAGGTGCTTGTGTGGCGAAGGCCAGGTAGGGAGCTGGGTTCTAGAGAGGTGACAATCACTCCTTTCTGCACCTGGTTATTTTGCCTCAGGATCCATGATTCAGCCCCGTTTCCCCAGCCCCAACCCGCCTCATCCCCACTGTGCGTTAGGCAGCTCAGGTTAAAATGGAGAGGAAGATACATTCAGACTGTGGCCCCCCAGGAGACCCCCACATGGGATGCGAGGAGTTGGGAGGCAAGGCATAGCTTGTGGCAGCGCCTCCTGCTGGACCCAAGGGCCCACAGGTAGAGCTGGGCAACTGGAAATCTGGGGGTCCACATCCACCGTACCCTTCCCCCTCACTCTGAAGCCACAGGCAGGCCAGGCCCGACCGTGATTAGTGATGGCACTGCAGCTCTCATCTTGCCACAGAACTAAAGTGCACCCCACAGCCTTCCAGCCTGCCAGAGCTCTGGCTCCCCCTCCCAGGACACAGGAAAGTCCCCTACTGTTTTTTTTTTTTTTTTTTGGCTTACAACCTGGACTTTTAAGCCAGGCTGGGCCCAGGGGTAGTGGCAGCAAAAGCAGCAGCCAAAATGTCAAACATACAAATGACCTGAGAAATCCCATCTGTACGTCATTCACTCAGAACTGACTGGGAGCTATGTACAAGTCAGGAGGGACAGGATCAAGACACTCACGGGCGCCGAACACTCACACACACATGCTGGAGGATGGGGCCTGAGGGGCACCTGCCCCCCAGTCGGAACCAGTGCCCACATACTCCATCCATGTGTCTTCAATTAGGCCTCTGCATCATATATTCATTGAACCAGTGCAAAACATCTTTTAGGGAGCAGGTAGGCCAGGCCGGGGTCCCAGGAGGATGCTGGGGTAGGGTAGAGGTGGAACATGGAAGAAGAGGGACTGGCTTTTCCTCTCCCAATCTGCAGGACATGCCCCCTTCTCCTGAAGTCTGAGTCACCGGGTAATGGGGCCACTGACTGTCCATCTGTCTCTCCCTTTTTATCCCTGCAAGCTTGGGGAAGAAGGGTCCTTGGCAGCCTGGGGCTGGGAGCCCAGGTCCTCTGGGGCCCTTGCTGGCTCAGGCTCGGTGGCCATGGGCTCCTCGATTTTATCTCTGTTTTTGTTGGCCTCCTGGAGCTGGTGCCGCCGTGCTACCTCGGCCTTCAGATTCTCCAAATCTTTTTGGCTGAGTGGGAGATGAGGGTGAAGATGGGGTCAGAGTAGCCTGGGCCCCACACTATCCTGCTGGTGTTCGCTACACTTATTTTTGTGACATGATCAAACTCTGAATTGTATTTAGAGCAATGTGTGGAACAACTATATCCTTCCCCAAAGCAAAAAGGTCCCTAAGTACCGAAGTACAAACTCCTTGCACTTGACAACTAAGGCTGCTATACAACCTCACACCTAGTTCAAACTGGCTGCAATTTCTAGCTCCTCCTACAGCAGGGCAGGGGCAGAAAACTGGGAAGAGGGTAATGGCACTATGGGCTCATCAAGCCCATTTCCTACCCTAAAGTAGAGTAGGGCTCCAAAGGCAGCATAGCCTGCTAGCCAGACCCTCAGAGTGCGTACAAGAGGCTGTTGGCAAAGAACGCAGCCACCTTTTATGTACTGGATATGAAAGCTGCCGTGCTACACTGCTGAGTTAGTGTACAAAAACGTGTGTGTATGATATGCTATAGTTCTGCATAAAAAACAAAAACACAGTTGAGGACATATCTCAGTTATAGAGCACTTGCTTAGATGCCCAAGGCACTGGGTTTAATGCTGAGTTTACAAAAACAAAACAAAAGACTACAGCTACGTATTTACTGGAAGGAAAAAATCCTTTTCACCACCAGCTCTGCTTCAGGTCTGAGCCATGCTGATGTACCAAATGACTTAAAAACTACCTGAAGGCCCCTGGGTGGGGAGGAGGGAGGGGCAGAGAGGTGGGCCTTACCTGAGAGGAATGAAGAGGATGCCGTTGATGACATTGAGCTGCTCTAAGACACTGGCCATGCTGGGAGCTGTGAACTGGGGATGGTGGGCAAGACCAGCCAGTGAGGGAGGTCCAGAGGCCAGGGTGGGCCTGCTGTGCCACTCACGCTGCCCAGGATATACCTTCAGCGGTGGGATGTTGGCACTGGAGCCGTTGCGGTAGATTTCATTCATGGTGCGCTGCAGGGCCACAGCCTGCTGGGTCAGGCACTTGAGGTACTCTGAGCTCTCCTTGGTCTTCTCGTGGTCCTCACCCAGCTACAGGGACAAAAGTACAAGACAAGAGGCGGTTAAGGCTGTTCCTGGCCCAAGCGCCGGCCCCACATAGTCCCCATGACAGCCCACCTGGGTCTTGTAGATGGTGTAGCCTTCCTTCTCGTGCTGCAGTGCTGACCGGAACTCAGCTTTGCTCTCATAGACCCGGGCCACGAGGTGGTGGCTGCCAGGAGGTACAGCATGCAGAGCAAAAAAGGAGGGACATGAGCAAACCAGGCAGGGAGGCCCCACAGGCTAGGGAAGTCTGCCTGCGTCTCTCCCTGAATTCTCCCAAGGGGACCGACCACACAAGTCAGAATGCCGTGGAAGCAGAAACTGAGGGATTTTCGCAGCAACCAGATACAGACAGAGCTCCAGGTGCCTCCCTTCCCCCACCAACAGGTCCCAGGGATTTGGGGGTCCGGGCCAACATCTCACCTGAGGGCCACCTTGAGGGCCTTGGGCCCATGGTACTTGGTGCTGACCGCCAAAGCATTCTCCAGGAAACGCAGTGACAGGTCATACTCCATCACTCCATGCAGCACCAGCCCGATGTTATTCTGGGGGCAGGGATGAAGGCAGGATCTGCTCAGCACCTGCTCCCCTGCACTGGTCTGGTCCCTCTCTTCCCCACCCCAGCACTCACATCCAACAGTGCCATCTCAGGGTGATCCTCCCCGAACACGAGCAGCATGAGGTAGCGGGCCCGGTACAGCAGGCTCAGGGCTGTAGACAGCTGGCTGCTGGCAAAGCAGTACAAGGCCAGGTGCATCTGTGGGTGGGCACGGTAGGTCAGGGCAGGGCAGCGCAGCGCAGTGCCAGCCCCCACAGACCACATCAATGTGCATACTCACATATTCCTGGATAGTATTAGGGTGTTCAATGCCCATCACCCGCTCGCTCATCAGCACTGCTTTCTGCTGGTTGCTCAGGGCCTGGGAAAAGGAGATGTCGGTTCAGAGTGCAAGCAGCTCCCAGCTCAGCTCCACCTGCTCAGCACTGTTACCTTGCTGTGCTTTCTAGTCTTCCCCGACCAAAGGCCAAACAACAGGGGTCTAAGAGGGGGCTCATAACCAGCTCGTGACTACAGACATCTATGCCCCCATGAGAGCTTCTAAAATCAGTTTTCTTCTAACAAAATCTATGCAAATATACACAAGTCCAAAACTGCACTAAGAGGGGTTGGGGATTTAGCTCAGCGGCATAAGTGCCAGCATGGCAAACGAGAGGTAATAAGTTTGATCCTCGGTACAAAAACGAAAAAACAGAAGAACCAAAACTGCACTAAGAACCTTAACTTTGTATAAATGCATACGTAAATAGAAGGATGGAAGGGTGGAGGACTAAAGCACACTGACCCCGGAGACAGCCCCCAAGGTCCCATGGCCTTAAGCCCAGTGAGGAGTCTGAACACAAGCAGGGCGGGGTGTGCCAGGGCTGAAGGTGATCACCTGGCCATGCACCCTGCCCACTCTGGCAGACCACAGGATGCTACAGAGGACAGCACAACACTCACAGCTTTCACTCGCCCACAACAGCCAGGTATCATGCCACACTTGGCAGTCACAAGGTCTCACCACTTTTGTGTATGTCCCTGAGCATGTGGCCCTGAGTTGTCATTTACCACTGGACTGGAACACAGGTAGCTCCAAAGGATGGTGAGCAGGGTGGAGCCGGGGCCACTCACAGAGCATGTGCCTCCCGGACCCCCCCTGCTCCTCACAGGGACAACAAGAACGCAGCCTCCTGCCAGGTCCTAACCCCAATGGGGGCTCGGGTCCCAGGCCCGTCCCATGCTGTGACCCTGGACGCCCAGCCATGAACCACTCAGGATGCCCAGGTGCCCACCTCAGCGTAGTCACCCATGATGTAGTGCAGGCGAGCCAGGAGGCGCAGGCAGGCGCATATCTCCACATGCATCGCTCCATACACGTTGTTAAACAGGTTCAGGGCCTCACTGATGAGCTCACAGCCCTCCTTCAGGAAGCCTGCAGGGCGGCCCAAGGGTGTCGGTCAGGGCAGGCTGAGGGTGATCTGTGCCTCCCAGTGGCCCAGCTGGTCACGCACCCTGCTGAACTTTGGCCTGTCCGCTCTGGAAGAAGTGGAAGGCATCCGAGGCCTTGGGATTGACGTGTTTGACCACAGGGAAGATGTTGAGTACGTCCTCCTCGGTGAATGCAGGCTTGTGGCGGCTGTCAAAACTGTATTCCTTCAGCAGGATCTGCAGGACGGGCCCACACCCAGACGAACTCAGCCTTGGCCTCAGGCTCAAATGGCTGGCACGTCTCAGCCCACTATTATGTGTCCAGTGATCACCACCCCAAAACCACCTTCTTCCTCAACACTGTGGGCCTGGCCACAAAAGGTTGGTTGGGGCCCAGCAAGGACACTGTGACTTGTGCCCACCTGGATTCCAGTTTTCAGGGAGATCTCCCGCAGCAGTGTTATCTTCTGCAGGCCGTAGGTCTCCACAGCCTGGTCCACAGAATCACTGAGGGAGGAGCAGGGACCCTGAACAGCCCAGCACCCATCTCTGCCCCTCTGGTCAGCTATGCTGACAGCTCACATCCCTGCTTCCCCACACCAGTAGCCATCCACAGCCACTCTCACTGCCATCTTCTACCTCCCCTACCTGGTGATCATGGTCCTGGGTGCTGCCTGAGGGCCCAGCACTAGTGCCTGGTCTGCACAACCCACAGCCCCCAGCAAAGCCCCAGTATGCTCATACCACTCAAGGCTGAAGTCGAAGTAATTCTTGGCCTCCTGGCAGATATTCTTCCAGAGCTCCTGAGGGGTCATCACCGCCCAGGCAGTGTTATCTGCAGCTCCTGGGGGCCGGTTTTTTCTCCTCTTATTTCTCTTCTTGGAGAGCAGCTCATCGGCAGGCAGGTGGGCCACAGGATTGGGGTAGGAGCTCAGGAAGCAGTTGAGAAAGTGGCTGATGGCAGCTGAGAGCCCGGAGAGCTCCACTCCCTGGAAGGTGGTTGTGACCAGTATGAGGGTCCCTGGCCCCACTTGGGGCTCCTCCCCAAGCCCTATACCACTCAGAGAAGTCCTGGCCAAGCCGGAGTGGGGAGGACGTGCCTGTAAGTACGTCTTGAAGATGTGCTTGGCGGAGCGGGTAATGAGCTCTCCGATGCCAATTTTCTGGAAGGATGTGAAGGGTAGCCGTGGTCAGGCCCCAGCTGCCTCTGCCTGGCCCGCCCGTCTCGGTCCCTGCAGCACTCACGTGGACATGGTCTAGCTGGCTGCGGGCTGGGCTCCGCAGCACCAGGTCCAGCACCTTGCCCAGGTAGCGCATGTTGATTCCGCGCTGGCGCATTGCCTCAGCCAGGGTCGCCCCATCCACAGGCAGCACCACATGCTCTGCACAGTCCTTCACCTGTGGACTGCAACAGGTCACAGCCCCACCCTGGGCCATCCCAGGGAGCCAGTGCTGCCCTGGCCCCAAGCGATGGGAGGCTACCTCAGCCTCCAGGCAGAAAGTGCAGAGACAAAGCCACAGTGAGGCCACAAGAACCTGCCCCCAGCCTCCCACGGGAGCACAGGAAATGGGGGTCATCATCTCTCCCACAGGAAGCAGGGCTGGGCCTATGGGCAAAGAACCCACTGTCCAACAGCCATGTGGACAGAACAGAGGTGACCAGATAATAGCTTTACCCCACCCACGTGCTGAGCCTTTGAAGGCTCAAAAACCTGAGATAAGTTTGCCACCAGGCTGCTCTGGAGAGAGTGGCACATCAGCCAAAGTCCCAGGCATGAAGCCTGCAGAGATGAGGGCTATAGGAACTCACAACATGGGGCTTAGATGCCCAGACTCCCCAGCCTTGGCAGGGCAGGATCTAGCTTATGCCTGATGCTTCCTCTGATCTGGGGTTCAGGCCGTCCATCTAAAATGGGCCTAATTACTCAACCCTGTCGCAGGCCAGGCAGGACTAAAGAAGCTGCCCAGGTAAAGGGCTTCCACAGCATTTAGAGCTTGAGCCAAATGAGATAGTAGGCCCAAAACAGGCCCCAGGGCAGGACTGCTCACCCCCCATGCCCTTGGGTCCCTCCCTCACCAATCCAGGGATCTGGCAGGAAAGCAAGAATGCAGCCGCATCTTTGAGTAGCTGCTTCTGGTCCCGAACTTCATCCTGGCAGGACTCAGGGAAGCGAACCCCTGGGGAATGAAGAGCCGTGGCATGAGTGGCACTCAGGCAGTGAGCAGATGCCACCTGGGCTGCAATAGCCAGAGCCCACTGCGGACATCCTGCATCAGCCCTGCAGGGCTCCTGCTTGGTCCATGTCCACTACTTGCCTGGTGAGAAGATGTCAGGATTGAAGCGAATGTCAAAAGCTGTGCTGCTAATGGAGCCAACAGCCTTGCACGCATTGTGTATCACCTCCCGGCTCCGGGGGTCTGCTGTGGAGACACAGCACAATGGGAGGGGCCTCGTCTCCCTCCCTCCAGCAAGCCTGCCTGCCTGAGGCCACACTACGAGCCAGCCCGGTGAAACCAGCTGCCAGGGCAGGCCCAGAGCTCCCCCAACATCCACAACAGCCACACCTGTGCTGTCATCGGAGGCGATGGTCTCTGCCAGCTCCTTCACCTTGGCCAGCCCACTGGCACTACTGCCCTCCTCCTCATTTCCTGCCTCAGGCCCCAGAGGGTCTGCAGGCTTGGACTCCGATGAAGAGGGACTGCCATTCTCCAGGGAAGTGGTCTCCACCTTGCTGGCCTTCTGCTGCATCAGCTGCAAAGCAGCCAGCTTCATAAACAAGAGATACCTGCAGTGAGGCAAAGAGAGCAGAGCAGGGGGTGGGAAAAGGGCACTGGGCAGATCTGCTGACCTGGCAACTTCCTGCTGGCTAGACGGACCAGAACCAGGCCCTGGGCTCCTGGCTTGCTGGTGATAGAGCATGTTAGGGCTAGGCACCCTCAGCCATGGGGACACATCCTGCCTGGTATGACAAATGAATGCACACATCTGTGCCAACCTAGCTATTCTACCAGACAGCAGCAGGTCATAGCAAAACCAAGCTCTCCCCAGACAGGTAGGACAAGGTGTTTGGGGGTAGGGAAAGGTTCTAGGCCAGGAGTCTCAACAGTGATGAAAATGCCACTGTCATTTGAGAAACAGTCATGGTACTGGACATTTGGTTGACTCTCTTAAGTATTCAAAAACCAGCAGCACCAACACCAAGTATGCTCCCTTCCAGCCCTGGTGCCATGATGCTCAACACCCCCTAGCAGATTCCCAAGTATTTCCTAGGATGATAGTCACTGATACAGTGGCCTGCTAGCCTGCAACTGACACAAACTCTGCTCTGAGAGGCTGAGGTCACAGTAAGGTGAGGCACTGGGGACCAAGCTTTATTGAGTACGGGCAGAACTAGTCCTTAATTTCCCAGAGCCGCTCCCCTCCCAGGCCTGGCCTCGGGGCAGTCGCCTGGCCCCAGCCTCGGCCCACAGTCCAGCCCACCTGTGCTCCACAAAAGCGTCCACCAGCTCCTGGCGCAGGCAGCAAAGCTTGTGCCGATGAGTGCGGGGGAAGCCCGCGCGAGTGCACTCCTCAGGCAGCTCCTCGCCTGGCACAGGCAGGAAGTTGAGGTCAGGAGGGAAGGTACGTAGCAGGTCAAGGATGTAGTGGCGGCCATCATTGCCGATGATGCCCTTGCACTCCACCGAGGAGCACAGCTCCACCTCCTCATCACGATCATTGAGCACCCGGTGCCGCAGGATCTTCAGGGGTCGGCTGGTCCGCTCTAGCAGCTCTAGGTACCGAGGGTGCGTCACCACCGTCTTGCCAAAGTCTATGGAGCCGTAGATGACACTTTGCTCCTGGTCCCGCTCCAAGATGCCAGGGATGATGGACTGAGCTGTGACCCGGTAGCCACGATAGTCCACCACCACTGTGCCCAGTGTGTACAGCCCCTCCACGTCTACCGCGTTGTACGTGCGCACACCATTCAGGTCATTGCTGGGTGCCACATAGGCTGCCACATCCCCACCAAAGTCCTTGTAGTGGTCGCGGACGTCAAAGCCCAGGCTGAAGAAGATGTTGTTCCAAATGAACATCTGCATCTTGGTCTCCTCACTGGGGTTGATGGCCATCACGTTGCCGTCAATGACCGCCATGGCACCCCGAGTGGCTGCTGCTGTGAAATCACTGTGTACCTAGAAGGGGCCAAGGTCAGAAAGGGAGAGCCACTTACCCATGCGACCTCTGCAATGTGTCCTACCCTGGCCAGCCTCACCTCCACCGTGGAGGTGGCCAGGCCTGCCTTGGTAGCCTAGCTGCAGTTTCCTCACATTTGAAAAAGGGCAGAAAATGAATTTTTAGAAAATCTAAACACCTACTGAGAGACAGCACAGCTTAGTGATTAGCAAGGAGCACCACAGGTAGAGCAGGTCTGGAGCTCAGCAGTCAAATGCCGGGTGAAGAGGGACAGGTATGGGGACACCACAATGTATCCATTGTCACAAGCTGTCCCAAGACTACTGGGTAAATCTTTATGCAATACTTGGCACAGCCTCTGGCCAAGTTAGGAATTTTTTTAAACAATCACTTTTCCTCATTTCTGTGTTACAAAGAATATTGATAATTTTTCAACTAAGCAAGTTATAAGAGCTACGCAAATGTGCTACCTCCCCGGAGTGTCACCACAAATGCCCAGGAAAGGGCCTCATGTGGTCAGTGGACAGTGGGAAGCTGGCTGGACCTCGACACTTAGCCCAGATGGGAGGCAGGCTCCTCCTTCCCATAGGCTCAAAGTTTTAAGCCACCAGACAAAGGCACCAGTGTAGACTGCTGGAGGCAGGACACCCACAGGTACCCTCACCAGCCTCCAGGGCAGGGCCACAGCCAGCTTGTGTTACTTTCCTCCTGTCTACAAGAAGGCCAGGTGACAGGTGGCAGGTGGACCTGAGGCTGCCAGTCATCAGCAGGGCAGTAAGCACCTTGAATATGGCTCTTTCCCGCAGCAGCCGTTCAGGCAGGTTTTTACGGGGCAGCTCCCTTGTGGTTTGCAGCTCCTCATTCCAGTCCCTGGTCTGCAAAGAAACCAGAGAGGCGGGCTCGGGCTCAGCCTGTGCTGTGCAACCTCCATGTGAACAGCCCCACTCTCAAATGAAAAGAGCCGCCTGGGAGGCACACAGCCAGCTAGGCACCAGGAGGGGTGGGCAGTGGTGAAGACGGGGACAGCCCCACCTGTCCAGGAATATGCTCCTCGTAGCCCAGCCTTGAGGTGTAGGCGTCCTCTGCGCGCACACAGTCCATGGCGTGCTCTGCCTGGGGGGCTGTCCAGCTGTACACCTGGAACGGGGTAGCGATCCTCTCGAACGGGTGACGCTGGACCCTGTAGTAGGCAGGGGAGGGGGAGATGGGGCAGCCCACCAAGTTCAGAGCCTAGGTGTGGGCCCCTCCCCTCCCAGACCCATCCTGCTCCACTGTCTCCTGGCCCTAAGATGCTGCCCTCAAGAGCCACGCAGAAGCAAATGGGAACTTCTCCAGGGCTGCCTCCCCTACATGAGGCAGTGCATCTGATAAAGCACGTACGCGGGCACTACCTTTTCTTCTGCAGCACAGCGAAGTTTTTTTTGAAGGTTGGGCTGATCTGGTTGAGCAGCTCCACCAGGGAATGGCTGAGGAAACGGGGACTGGCGGGCTTGGGGTTGAAGTGGTAAGCTGTGGACCTGCGAGAGACGGTCATGGAGCAGGGGGCCTGAACGTCTGCCCTCAATCACAGGGGTGGGAAAGGGGCAAACTGAAGGCGAGAAATAGGGGAGATGGCTCACTGGTTCAGGTAGAAGCCCCGAGTGGATGCGGTGATGCTGACTTGCCGGTCCTCAGCTGTGATCACAAACAGGTACATCAGGTCCCCGTGCATCTTGCGGTTCCCAGGGGGTGGATTCCAGCCGCTCATGGTGAGCACCTTCAGACACTGCAGAGGCTGCGGAAAGGACCAAACATGGGGGAGCCAGGCCTCCCAGGAGGACTCCATCAAGGACCCCTTCCTTGCCCCCTCCAGGAGTCCCACCTTCCAGTCACGGTTCTGGGGTTGCAAAGGACACAACGGTCGCTCCCTGCTCCCTGGCAGGATATACTCAGGTGGAGTACAGTCGATGGGATCCATCTCCAAGCCTTTCTTCCGCTTCCCACTGTCTGAGGAACCCGAGACCGTAGTCAGCCTGGACCCAGCCAGCTTCCTGCCTCAGTGTGGACCTGGTCTAAATGCCTCAGACCCACATCTTGGAGAGAAGCCCCGCCCCTCTTTACCAACCCCTCTGCCCAGGCCCAGCCCCAACGCCTCCCTCAACTTCCTTGCACCTCCCAGGTCGCCATCAGTGAAGACACTCAGGAAGGACAAGGAGTTGCAGTCAACTCCATTGAAGGCATCAGATGGATCCAAGCTCTTGAGCAGGTCTCGGACGTGGCGCACATGGATGCGGGCTTCTCGTACTGTATATGGCTCTGTCAGGAAAGGGAGATGAGGGTTACCAGGACTGTCCCCAAGAACAATCTGCTCAACACAGAGAACTATTTGCAAGGCACTGTCATGGGTAGATTTGGGTGTTTTTTGCCGTGCTACAGATCAAGTAGGGTGCATAGTAGGGTGTGTGTGTGTGTGTGTGTGTGTGTGTGTGTGTGTGTGTGATGTGTGTGTGTGTCTTTTTGAGACAGGGTTCACTATGCAGTTCAGGCTGGCTTTGAGCTCACTTTGTAAGCCAGGCTGGTCTCAAACTCACAACGATCCTCCTGCCTCAGCCTCCAGAGTGCTGGGATTACAGGCGTGAGCCACCACACCAGCCTTCCTAGCTCTTTTATTTTTCGAAATGAGGTCTGGCTAAATTGTCCAGTCTGGACTCAAACTTGCCATCCTCCTGCCTCAACCTCCCTCAGCTAAGAGTACAGATGTGCCTGTCATACCTGGCAATGTAGTCACGGCCTTTTTGGTTTTTTTTAATGTACTGAGGTATATGTGCTAGGCAAACATTGTGTCACTAAGCTACAGACAAGCCTGGCAGTTTGGATTTTCAACTTTAAAATTCTTATTTACAAACTCCACTATGAAGCCAGGCATGGTAGTACCCACCTGGAATCCCAGCTCTCTGGGAGGCTGAGGAAGGAAGACTATAAGCTTGAGCCCAGCCTCGGTAACTTAGTGATTTCAAGAAACCCTGTCTCAAAATAAAACATAAAAAAGGATTGGGGTGTAGCTCAACTTGAAAGCCCTAGGTTCCATTCCCAGCACCTAGAAAATAAATAAATAAATAAATATTCTAAAATCCACTGTGAAAACATGAACTGGAGCTCTGGTTTTAAAATACATATGCCAAAATAGACAAAAAACAGTCAAGGGTAGCTGCACATGCCTATAACCCCAGCTCTTCAGAGGCCAAGGCAGAAGAACTGCCACAAATTCAAGCCCAGTTGGCTACACATTGAGTTCAAGGTCTGCCTCAACTAAGTAGCCAGACAGTCTCAAAAAAATAAAAGTGCACCCTTGTCCACAAAGACCCTTCCACAGTTACCTCTTGAGGCCCACACAGAGAGCTGCACAAAGCCACCTACTTTCTGTTCCCTGGTGCTCAAGTAGGCAGAGTTTGTGGAGCTGCGGGGCCTCCAGAGCCTCAGTCCTGTTCTCAAACAGCCCTCACTCAGCTGGGCCTGGGGATCTCACTCCCAAGACCTCACATGTCAAATCGTTCCATAAGGTATACTTTGTGGGATTATAATAGCAATATTTCCAGCACAGGGAGAGATTCTGGGCCTAAGTGAGTTATGGACTTTTCCCATAGTTCCTGGGAACCTCTGAGCAGCCATATCAACTTTTCTTTTACAACCAAATCAGTCTCACTACACCAAAGCAGATGGTTCTGCCCTGGGCTTTTTCCCCACTCAAGAGCTATGAAATGCTAATTCTTCTTGATAAGCTTATCTATCTTCACAAAATTTGACAAGGTTGACTTTAAGTCTGGCTTAGGACTGGCTGGCTCTTTAGAATGGAGACTCGAGCCAGGTGTGGTGGCTCACGCCTGTAATCCCAGCACTCAGGAGGCTGAAGCAGAAGGATCGTTGCAAGTTTGAGACCAGCCTGGACTACAAAGTGAGCTCAAGGCCAGCCTGAACTGCTTTGAGAGACCCTGTCTCAAAAAAAAGAAAAGAAAAAGAAAAAGAACTCAATGGAGCTTCTGGCCTTTACTCTGTATCATGTAGTTGGAAAATGAAGGTGTGACAGTCTATACAACAGATCCAGTGTCACCTCCACATGTCAGCTGTGGCAGTAGGTACAGTGCTATCCAGCCTGCCTCTAGAAGCCCTCTCCTGGTAGGCTGCGGACTCCTCCACTAACCTTCCACCACGCGGAGTACTGAGCCCTCCTGCAGCCCTTCAACGCTGCGCAGCTCTGAAAAGTGATCCAGCATGTTGCCATCCAGATGCAAGGAGAAGCAGGTACGGTGACAGGTGTCCTCACGGTCCATGAGCACCTGGTGAATTTCTTGTACCATCTCCTGGGGAGACACCTGTCAGAAAGAAGTCCCCAACCAGCATGAGAGGCTGCACAGTAGGAAGCAAGGATATCACCCCACTCTCAAAGCCCAAAGTACCTGGATCCCTAGAATACAGACCTAAAATACTCAAGTTTTCTACTTTTTGGCTTTTAAATTGTAACCCCTGTTGGTATATATCATTTCTACCTGCAGTCATCCATGCAGGAGAGGGACAGAGCCTGGCCCCACTGCTGTAGAACTAACCTACTCCTAGAGACTAAGTGTAATCTGAGCAGAGCTGCAGGGGCACAAACAACAATCTGCCTTCTTCCAACATTGTGGTCCCCAGGGCAAGTGGCTTTGGCCTTCATAGAGGTACATTAGGACCTGAACTTGTGGGGAGACCGAACAGAAGAGGGCCTTACCTGGCTCCTTAATGGGTTACCAGCCTGCAAGTCCTCTATACTGGCCCTAATCCTGAAGGCCACTCAATCCCACTCACCCCTCTGGTGTATGGTAGAATCATGGCTCAGCAAGAGATGACTTACCTGAGGGTACAGAGGACAAGGCTGGGGCATGCTGGGACTAACACCACCTAGATACCACCACTCCTCTCCCCGGTCAGGATTGACAGTCCCTGCTGACAGCTACCCGCTAGCACTGGACTGTGACCGGAATCTGGACTCAGTTGCCCCATCTGCCATACTAAATGAGACCCTGGGAAAGACTCAGGACTCTCAGTTTCCTGCCTGCACCATGAGGCCAGGACAAGCAAGGGTAGGACCTGGCTTCCGGCCTGGTTTCCTAGCAGGCGCAGACCCAGGCCTGGGTTCCCAGTATTTCTTTCTTCATCTTACCTGCAAGGAGAAGGGCTCGATCCCAGGGGCCAGAATCTTCACAGAAAAGCCCGTATCCTGAATGACAATGACTTCCTGTCCAGTGGTCTCATCTCCTGGCTCACCCTCATCCTGTCCATTTTCTTTGGGTAGGTCAGCCACTCCCTCCTCCTTCAGGCTCTCTGGACAGTCCCCATTTAACAGCATGACCGATGGGGGATCTGGGAATGATAAGAAACAAGCTGGGTCAGCTGGGCCTTGTGGGTTTCATGTTCTGTAGAGTAAGGTCTCCATCTGGGGAAAGGTGGTTTATTTTTTGAGACTCACTGTGTAGTCCAGGCAATGAAAACATGCACTCCTCCCAACTTAGCCTCTTGAGAGAGGACTTACATCTTTGTTTCTTGCTCTGTAACTTTTTTTGCTTGCCATGTAAATTCTTGCCCAGCTCAGAATGGGATTTATGTGCCCTAGCCCAGACATTATACTAGCTCAGCCCCTGGTACCCCCACACGTCACTGCTTTTTCCTTCCCCGCCCGATCCCCCTACCCAGCACTCCTCAGCCCACCTGCATGGCTCCTTCTCGAGCACGCTGACCAATCTTATTTGGCTTCTGAGTGGCTATAAACACCACTACCCATTCCCTCCTCCTCTTCCTCAACAAATGGGACACTCGAATCCTTTTCTCTAGCTTGTCCTCTTCCAGTGGCCTTGAGCAGTAGGCTAGGCTCCAGCAGCTCAGCGTCCTTACCTCATTATCTTCCATGGCTTTGAGTATCCTTCTACCGAAAGCTCACATGGCCTCGCTTAAGCACTTTTTTTTTTTTTTGAAGTCAGGGTCTCACCACGTAGTTCAGGCTGGCCTAGAACTCACAATGTAGTCCAGGCTGGCCTTAAACTCATGATGATGCTCCAGCCTCAGCCTCCCAAGTGCTGCCATTAACAGGGTAGTGGCACCAAGCCCAGCTTGCTCAAACTTTTCAAAGGAGACAACAACTACCCAGGAATCAACACGTGGGCCCCTTAGACATCACCAAAACCTCATCTTGGGACAAAATTCATCTTCCTTTGCAAACTAGCCTCTGCTGTGTAAAGCCACCTGCCCCCATCTATTCACCCAACCTACAACTCCAACCTGATTCACAGGCTCCCATCTTTGCAGCTATGGCCTTGGTGCAGACATTCACTTCCCCAATTTTGAGAGTGCCACCTGGAACCAATTGCTGATGAGACAAGCTTAGGCCAGCACTCACGTACCTCTCAGTGTGCCAGCTCCTTCTCTCATCTCTGTGTTTCAATGTGTGCTACTCAGCAGACCATTCCATCAAGCAAACTCCCCCTGGTCCTCCAAGTGCGAGGCGAATACACCCTCTCAAAAGCCTCACCTCTGCTGGCAGAACGAGCACAGTGGCTATGTATATAAGCAGCTCTACTTGTGCCTTCTGTCTTACTCTGACTCAATGAAAAGGTATCAAGTTAATTAATTAATTACTACAAGTCTATAGCTAACTCCAATATTCATGAGCAGCACCCAACTTCCATGCTATGGGGAAGAGGGAAATAAACTCCTCTCCATTTCTCTCAGGCACTAAGTGAAACAAAGGAGAGGTCCCTCCTGCCCTAGCCAAGATCCTCCTCCCAGAAACCCCCCAGCTGACTACAGCTCTGCCCGTATGGCCATTTGGCCAATCGGGACCCTCATCTCAGCACCTGCCTGTCAGTTGAACTAGCCTCCTTGGCTTTGAACCCCAGTTGCAATTCTGAGCAAGAATGGGTCCCCTATTAGACAGAACTGCTTATTCAACATTTGGATGCCAGCCTGTCCCATCCAGACTCCACTTCCCTACTCAACCTTAGCCATCAAGAGTAGAAATGGAATGAATTTCTCCAGTGCTCTGTGGTCTCTGTCCAGAGGCACCAGAAACATGGTGCAAGGATCTCAGGAAAGGAGGCTGGCCCTAGCTCAGAGTCATGCCAGGGAACGGAAAATAAGCCATTCCACCGGTCTAAAGCCCTCAACTCCATGATAAACAGGACTGTCAGCCACACCCATAATTCCTGCCCCTTGGAAGTTGGAAACAGAATTACAAGTCTGAAGCTAGTCTGGCAAATTTCATGAGACCATGTCTAAAAAACAAAAAGGGCTGGAAATGCAGCCTACTGACAGAGCACAAGTCTAAAATATGGGAGGCCTGGATTTGATTCCCAGTACAACCAAAACTGAACCAAACCAAAGACTTCCAAGTGCTCATTTAAGAGTTCCCATCCCCTTAACTCAATAAGGAAGTCTGAAGCCAGAAAGGTTTAGAGCCTGCCCAAGGTCACAGAGAGGAGTCCTCAGATTCCCACAGCGTGCACACCCACAGCTGCATTGTTCTCAACCCTGGCCACTGAGGACCTCCAGTAACCGAGCCTGCACTGGCCCTGCTGCTCACACTACTCTCTCCAAACCTGGAGGGCAACATCCAAGAATCACAGGACACACAGGACTTGACTCTCCTGGTGAATGACAAAGCAGCCCCAGGCAGCGCAACTCCAGTACCTAGAAATAACGAGCCTTACCCTAAAGTGAAAACTTGCGTGGCCCTCACGACAGAGCAGACAGAGATATGAAGGTCAGCTTTCCAAAAACAGTAAGAGGGATGGCCTGGCAGAGGACCCACTGGGTCCCTGAAAAAGGCTCTGCGTCCCCACTCAATCAAGGTTTAAGTTTCAAGGTCCCGAAAACTGGGTGTTAAGATCTAGGCCCACAGAGACAGCCTCTGTGACTTGGAGATGCATGGGTAGGAGGACCTGGGGCAGAGGGAAGACAAAGCGAGTGAGCCAACTCTCACCCACTCCTCCCCACCCTAGAGACCTGTACCTTGGAGGAAGGAAGTGCCTAATTCCTGGTCACATCTCAAGAGACTTCACTTCCTAAGGACAACCAGCCTTGCTTCTCTCTTCCCTAAGGGATCCTGAAGGTTTCTCAACCACTAGATTAGGGGCAAGTGACCACCCCCGCCCCCATCAGCCAACTGGTTCACAGTCCCACAGCCCACCTGGTGCAGTCAGCAGCTGCCCTTTCCTTGGCTCTGGAGTCTCGAGACTGCCATGAAAGCAAAGTTGCTCCGGCCCAGGCCCAGCACTGCCTGTGCCCCTTGTTTCAGCCTCAGCCACTTTCCTTGTCCTACCACAGCTGGTAGGCCCAGGGCTGGAGCTCCAGCTGGCTTCAGGTTTCACTGGGGCCAGGCCTGCAGAGGCAGCCTTGGTAAGGGCATGCTCCCTCTGCTTTGCATGCTGTTCAAGGTCGGCCAGAAGGACGGCTGCAGGCCAAGAGGTCCCAGTAGCTCCAGGACCCTTGGGGTAGCTGCTATCAGTGCTGAGGCCCACCTCCATATGCTGCTCAAAAGGGGGGTCAGTGCCGCTGAAGCCATCAAGGGTGCAGGAGGACCCACCACTTGGGGTACTCGTACTCAGATCCCTCAGTATTAAGGGCCTTAAGGCCTGGCTAGCAGGAGCAGGGCCCAGCAAGGGGGTCCTCTCCTCAGCTCCAACCCCAGTAGGTAGGACAGCTTTGGCCAGCTGCTGGCAACAGCTGGCACAAACCCAGGCCCACGCCATGAGGTGGCGTCCCAGTCACCAGTCACACACTGAGCTCCTTGCCTGATTCTTGGGTCAAACGGGTAGCTGGGGCCTCTGGCTCCTGCTGTCCCCTGCAGGTGACCTGGCAGCTAGCCTCTTCCTGAGTCACTGGTTGGGGGGGGCAATCTCTCAGAGGACAACTGCACCCATGCCCCAGGCCTCCAAACTCCACCAAGAAGCTGGCAAGCTCCCTCTTCCCTTCCCAGCAGCCTGTGTGCCACTAGAAGAAACCAAATGTCTCCCCTGGGGAAAACAGAGCTGGCAGCAAGAGGCCGAAGGCTGTTGGGTTGAGAAGAAGCATGCCCAGCCTTGCCAGGGCGCCTTCCCAGGCCCCCTGACTCGTTGCCAGGGCCCAGTCAAGACTGCTCCGGCATCCATACTAACCAGCCTTGGGGCGGGGAGCCAGGCTTTCACCTCAGGCCTGCTCCCTGCCCATCCCAGGGAGCCACTGAGCAGCCTTGCAGCCTTCCTACAGCCAGTGAAGAGTTCTTGGCCTCACATAATAACCAGATGGTAAGGAGGGACAGGCCCAGAGGCAGCCTTCTCCTCCTACTCCATCCCAAACATCCCCTAATCCTTTGCAGGACGGGTGGGTCAGGAAGCCTGGCAATGACCACACCAGAGTACTGATACCACCTTCACTGTAGTTTCCATAGAGCTGGTGCTCACTCCAGGTCCAGCCCAGGACAGGGACTCCTGTCAAACTTGAAGAAAGGGATTCCATAAGGCCAATAAGCAAGCTGTCCAAGGTCACAGAAAAAGAAGCAGTAAAGCCAGGTCAAGAAAAAGCCAGGTGTGTCATACACTCAGACCCATGCCTCTGAGTGCCACTCCCACTGAGCATGATCCGCTGTACCACTCCTGGGGGACCAGGGTACAGCACCTCCTTCCCAACACCTTAGAACTCAGCCCGGGAGGCAGATAGAGTTCTAACCAAAGGAATCCTGGCAGTTCTCTACAACTTCTCTCATATGCCAGAGAACCTCTGAGAACCTGGGGTTTAGGTAAACAGTAAAAGGCAGTCCTCTGCAGAATGAAAGCAGACTGCCCAGACTGCCCTCAGTGCACATGAACTTATAGCCCCCAGCCCCAAGTGTTAACTGCAATGACCAAAGTGAAGATAAAAAGCACACTCTGTCCTGAATGGAAGCACAGGATCCCATCTGCTGCAGACAGGAGTTAGAAACATCTCAGGCCCATGGCCTGCATGTGCCTCCCCAGCCTGGCAGTACACTGGGCCAGGACGAGACCACACCCAGCCAAGGCCTTGGCAGATGAGGCTGCAGCAGGAAGAAGTAAGACCCCAAAGACACTTCATTCGTTCTAGAAACAGGGCTTCAAAGCAAGGGAGAGGCTAGTGGGTAGCCTACAGAGACCCTGGGGAGAAGTACACCTTTGTTTACCTCTTCCCGCCCCCCTCAGGCCAGGTCTTCAAGGTCTAAGGCTAACCCAGACTTCCTCACAGACCGATCAGACTCCATCTGAGAAAATAGCTTTAGGATTCTCTTGGGGAGTTCTTAAGCCCCCAAACTCCTCACCAGCTGCCAGCTCCCTTCTCCTCCCCCCCTGGGCCTCAAGTCTGGGAGCCGTCCCCTAGGCAGAAGGAACCCGACACACCACTGTGAACTTGAAAAACCTGCCTGTTCTCTTAACCCCTAAAAGCTGCTTTATGCTTAAGAAGATAATCGACCCTTGCCTATCTCCTCCTCAAGGATACCAGAGAGACTTCTAGAGCTGGGGACCGGGTTCTGGGGCTGGATTCTGATCCCTGGACTGAGGAGGGGACCTCCATCAAGGGTCTCTTCTTAAAACAGATCTAGGTTAGCTGTAATGTGAGCCCCGGCATCTATATACTAACTTTCTGGGGAAATGGGAGTCAAGGTCCCTACCTAACAAGAATGTTCCCAGTTTCCCAGGATTAACAGCTGTGCCCCTCTCCTGACCCACCCCCCAACCTTAAAAGCCCCTTAGCACATAACTGGAAAGGAAACTCTCACAGAAATCCTCCTATCAACACCTGATTCAAACCCACATGCAAGTCTTAGTTTCCTCTGGGGCAGCCTTGGCATGCTGGCCATGAGCTAGAAATCCAAATGATCAACTAAATTGTGTGACCTTGGACAAGTCACTTCATCTCTTCCAGTCTCTTTGTTGGAAGGGAAACCAGCCAGCACCAACCTCCTCTTATCTAGTTGGCCCACTGACTCAGAACACATCAGGGCAAAGCCTGGTAGGCTGGGCTTATCACCATTTCTTGGCCTTGTCTAGGTGATCGGCAGAGCTGCCACAGCACCTGCCCCATAACTTAACTCAAGGTAAACCTGCTGTGATGGGACATGCATGGCCAGCAAGTGTGTCCAGTGCTAGTACCATCACGACTACCAAGTCGGCCTGGCCTACTCACTGAAGCTGGGAAGGGGATGATGGTGACGGGCACCGGAGAAAGACAGGTAAGAGTAGCTGTGAACTCCCACTACCACACAGGACAGAAAACACAGTGTCCTCCTGGTCCCTGATAAAGATGTTGGAAACTGACAGTCGAGGGACTGGGAAGGAGCCTGCATAAAGGCCAGAGTCTAAGGCATGGACAAACAGGAGGGGCCCAGAAGAAATGGAGAGAAGCAAGCCCCACCCCAAACAAGCTTCAGCCACTCCCAAAGCTATGGCTACACAGCCCCCACGGGGGAAAGCTGAGAGCTCCACTCCACACTATTGACCTTTGCCTTAAAAAACAGCAACTCTAGTCTGACCCACTTTTCGCAATAAGGCAGGTTAATAATCAAGTTCTGACACAAACACCTCCCCCTGCTAAGGAGCTCAGTTTTGCCCCTACACACTGGCAGATCCCCCACCCAGGTCGGGTGAGAAGGCCAACACCCGAGGAGGGAAATACAGCTTAAAGACCGAGGGTCAACCCCTTGTCTCTGAGAATGAACCGGAGAAGCCCCCTCGGTAATCCCCTCCCAACTCACACACTTCACCCAGACCAAGACTGGGAAACATCAAACTGAACCTCATTGGCAGAGCTGCAGCCCGCGCTGCACGGCGAATGCCTAGAATCCTGACAGCCAAAGGGAGAACCTTGTGAAGCCTGAGCTCAAAGTGCAATAGTGACCCTAGAGGTCTCCCTTTGCCCGGGAGCGGAGGGGGTGGGGCCGCTGAGTCTCGGCTACAGCTACGTACCGAGAAGCCGCGTGTGCGCGCACGTGTACCCACGATCTAACGCGCGTGTGCCCGCCACGGCTGACCTCCCTAAAAGCCCACGTGCGAAGCCCAACCTGCAGCCGGGGGCGACAGTGAAGGTGACCTTCAGGGCGGGGCGACCCAGTGGAGGGCCCAATGAGATGCAACCGAGCCCAGCGTAGAGAAAAGGTAGTGGTCTCTGCAGAGTACAGAACCGACCCGCCTGGCCCGGTCCGGCCCCCCCTTACCCGGATGCCCATTAGCCCTGGCCCTGCTCACCAGAGGCGGCCGGCCGCCCCTTGCCACCAGCCTGTGAACTGTGCTCCCTGGCACTGTCGACCGGGGCGGCCGCCGGCAACTCGTCCGTCTTGATAACCATCGTGGCGGGAGCGGGCGTCCGGCTCTGTAGTCCGCGCCGTCCGCCGCGCCACTAACCCAAGTGCCCTGCGCGCCGCGGCCGCTGCGGGAAGGACGGAGTCACCGGCCCACGTGGTGCGCGCTGTAGCCTTTGACCCCATCGCCGCTCCCTTGCTCCGCCCTCGCGCCCGGCCCAGCGCACGGAGGCCCGCGAGGGACAGAACATTCCGCGCTTTCCTGCCGGTCCACTGTTGCGGTGACTTTCCTGAACGCCTTAAAGGCAACGTACCCCGACTCCAGGGAAAAAGGCTAGTCCTCTTCCAGGGGCGGGGCTTAGAAAGACGTCCTTACCATTTGCTACAGGTTGGGCGCCTTGGGCGCCGTGACCTTGGGTGGAGACTCGTCGAGGACTGCCGTTGCTAACCCTTCGTTCCCCTCCCCCAATGACCCTCTGCTTCCTATTGCAACTGTGCCAGGAGACCGTGAGGTCCCTAATCTGTGGTGTTGGCATGACACACTGCGCCCTCCTCTCCAAGGGTGCCATTTGCTACCGAAGGGGTGGAATTGGGATGCGTCTGAATTATTGAGGAGGAGGTACCGGGAGGCTTTAAGTCTGGTACCACGGGTGGGGATGAGGGTGGCTAATGGGGTTAATGCTAAGTGCCTTTTTTGTTTTTTGGGTTTTGTTTTTTTTTTTTTTTTTTTTTTTTTTTTTTTTTTTTGTATTTTTACCGGTACCAGGGATTGAACTCAGGACTGCCCGCTTGCAAGGCAGGCGCTTATGCCGCTGAGCTAAACCCCCAGCCCCTAGTAAGTGCCTTTTTTTGGAAAGGCACTCACCAAACTTTTGTTCTCAGCTGGTGAACGCTCCTCCCTACTCACGTGCTCACCAGATGATCTCTCACTTCCAGGCTGGTACCCTCAGTTTACAATGGAGGAAGCTGAGGTCAGAGAATAATGTTAGAGCTGAGTTAGTTTAAATCCAGCCTGAAACCTGGCGTGGTGGCTCACTCCTGTAAACCCAGCACTCCGGACTGAAGCTGGAGGATAGATCATTTGCAAGTTCGAAATCAGCCTGGGTTATGACGAAGTGAGCACAAGGCCAGCCTGAACTGCATAAGGAGATCCTGTCTCAAAGACAAAAACAGATAAATAAATCCATTCTGGGCACTGCAGTAGGTGACAAGTGTGTGCATGTGGGTGTGTCTTCGTGTTGCTGCGGATTGAACCCAAGGCTTTGGGCATGCTAAATGCGTCTTTACCGGAGGAGCTTTTTACCTCGCCCCAGAGGTGATATTTGAACCAGTAAGTGAAGTTGTCCTGGCAGAGAGTGGGGTGATTCTTCCTTGCACGGGGTCAGAAAGCCCTTTTAAAGTACTTAAGGCACAGTCTTGACATTTGCCAGGATCTATGGGGAACTGGAAATCTGAAGTTGCAAAGATGGGGAGGGGATGGCTAACCAAACTGCAAAGCAAAAGTAGAATTTGGGCCAGGAGAAGTAGCTCAGTGGTAGAATGCTTG